CCTTTTGTCGCGCTTTGACTCTTACACGGAAGTCATACACAGATTACTTTTGCGTGTGACTAATAACAGTTGCTAAACGAGATATGTACAGCACACTCTTCAGGTTAGATTTCTACCAACAAAATTAGATTAAAAATGAATTATTTTCCAAGCCGCAAACAAAAGAACCCAAAGGGGAAACAAATGCGAAAGCCCAGCCCTAGTATGAAATGACGGAAGCCGGCTTTTATTGTGGTTTCTTTCCATCATATGTAGATATATGTATATATATTTATAGTTTGATATATCAATAGACTTTTAGAGGCGTACCCGCTCAATTGTGGCGGCAATCAATAAAAGATTTTTTTACCCTGATATATTTTCATAATTGAATTGTAGCAAAAATACAAAAAGAAAAAGATTATTTTTGTTGAAATATTAAGCCAAACACAGCAAAGGAGATTGAGACACACACACACACACAGATCATAAGGTTAAAGATTTATGTTGAAAGGTTTGAAGCGAGTTAAAAAAAAAAGAGATAATTATTATGGAGAGACCAGAACAAGGAAAACCATCAATTGAATAAATATGAAAAAAGAATTACAATTAATTGTGCACATTTATAAGCTAAGGATTGTTTTTTGCAACGTTGACAGCCTTGATAGCAACTTTGGAATAAAATAAAAATATAAACCAGGCAGACGTATTGATGCGAGGTAGTTCAAGTCACTAAGATATCTGGTATTCAGTTTCTCCCCCAACTGTTTTCTTTTTTCTGGCTATATTAATGATCCGATCGCAACCAGATTCAGCAATTCGGATAAAAGTCTTTACTGATTCACCGTTCTCATCATTTTTGTGTAATGGGCAAAAGTTTCGATTAATGAAAATTTCTGAGTGAGTCTAGATTTATGCTATGATTTATTTATTAAATTTATTTATTTTATTTATTTTTTTTTTTTTAAGTAAAACTTGACTTATAAAATAAATCATACAAATTGAGAATCCACAACTTTTAGTCCAATTGTCATCCAATTAAATCTTTCAGCTTCGCATACTTCAGTCAAACCATATCGAAGCATTGAAATTCGACACTTGACAGCTGCCCATACAGTTTTGTAACGCAATGTAATACGTTAAGATCCCAATTTATCGCTGCTGGCAGCCCGGCTTGTTCATTCACACTTGCTGTCCAAGTCTTGGATTTGGAGCGTGCTGCTGCTGTTGCTTCTGTTTCGGTGTCGCGCACAAATCAAATTCAAATTAGAACACACGAAAAGCATACGCGAATGCGGGCCAATTATGCAAATTTTGTTAAAGTCTGTCTCTGAAACGAAATTTGCATATCGGTCAATTGTTGCACGATTTTCGTGGTCTGCTCGGCGCACGCGTTGCAAATACGAAAAAAGTGTGAAATAAAATTCAAAAATTTTTAGTGTGTAATGTTTTGAATTTCTGTATTTAAGTGGAATATTTTCTTAGTGTAACGTAACGCACGTTCAATGCCAATATATGACACCCCCACCGCTTTGCATACACACTGACTGCCTGCCTTTGTTGCTGGTCGGTCTTATTTTGGACTTATGCGTATAAATAAACATGGTACTGGTACCGTGGTATGGTATGTGTCTTTGGTTTTTTGTTTTGTGCACCCACACACTTTGAACTATTTTTAAACAAATGGCAAATCAATCATTGCTGTGGGGGAAGTCAAACGAATGTAATGCAAAAACCAAAACCAACAAAAAAAACATGAGGGATTAACCTACATAGAAACACTCGACGTGCACATATTGTACAATAGTTTGAGGCAACAATTTCTGGCAAATTACGCATCCGATTGATATGGAAATAACTGGAAATCAATACCAAATCAACCGCAGAAACCTCTCCATACAAAACGACTTTCGTTTTGGGCAATTACTGTAGCAAAAACAGAAAGAAAAAAAAAAGAAAAAAACTATTTCCCTACTGCGGTTGGGTGACAGAAAACCCGTAAAGAAATATAATAATCATAATAATTACACTGACCTTCGGTGAAGTGTCTTGGGTGCCGCTGCATAGCCACCACAGTGGACTTGAACGACTCACTTTGAAAATGATTTTTTTTCTGTGGTTATTTTGCCTTGTATTCGTATCATTCGTAGTTGTAGTTGTGGCTAGAACTTGACTGGGAAATGTAATAACAAAATTACTTGCAAGTACTTTCAAACTGTTTTAAAGTTTTCATTACAAAAAAACATTTCTATAAAAATACTTGCAAAAAAAACATGTTCCATTCTGACTTTAGCAACAAATCTTGTCATTAGATTCCATCACTTTTAAATAAAGTACCAATTTTAGTTTCCAAAATATACAACCAAATAAATAAATATGTAAATGCAAAGTTCTCAAAGAATTTCTTTGTTGGTAAAACAAAAGACTGAAGCAAAAAACTTGAACCTTTAAATTAATTTTAAATACTTTAAAGAGCTGTGCACTTACAGTAGGTAGTGACTTGCAATTATTAAAACTGGAATACATTTAAATTCTATAAAATTTAAGTACTACAAAAAGTTTGATAATTCTCAAACCAATCTTCCAAAAAAACAAAAGACTAAAGCAACGAACTTGGTTAAATTCTGCTGTGAACTGGAATGCATTTAAAGTAGAAATAAATGACTTGCTAATATCGTAACAATTTTCGTATTCCTATACCCCTCTCTCCCTCTCTGTCTCTTTTGGAGCTACAAAAGACTTAAACAAAAAACTTGATATTCGAATTAATTCCCCCAAGTTCAGCCCCCGAAAGTCTAATGCATTCCCATTCGTTTTCTCTCATGTGCAATCAGCGCAACCTTTTGGCTGCCTACTAAGCCAAATAAATCAAGCGATAAGAAAACATAAATAAATTGGCAGTGGGGATACGATTCCCTTACGCCTTGCGACTGCCTTCCCAGCGCAGCATTAAATTTATGCCAACGCTTAATTATACAAAATTACGCTTAATTAAATTTTAATTAACACAATCAACTAGCGCACACACTGCAGGAAAAAGTTAAAGAAGAAACCGGCAAAACGTGTCCAAAATACGAAAACCAATTTGTGAATGTGGAGTACGGCAGCGGCAGCGGCTGCGTGCCACAGAAAAAAATTCCAAAAACAAAAACGAGACTACGAGGCGGTGTTTATTTCTAGCTTTAAAAGTGCTAAAAGATTCAACGCATTCGCCGAAAAAAAAAACTGAAAACTGAAAACCAAAAACCAAAACGAGTGCAAGTTCAACGGGGAAAACGGGTTTTCCAATTCCCTCCCGGCCACAAAAACAGCATAGCACATGAGGAAGTTAATGCCTGAGCAGCCAGACTAACTAAAGCAAAAGCAAAGCAAAGCAAAAGCAAAGCAGTGTGCAGCAGGGTGAAGTGCAGGCGCTGGAAAACTTAGTAACAGTTACTATTTAGTGGTGGGCCGCAGCCACAACCACAGCTAACAAAAATATGCACTCAAATTGCTTTTGCTCTCTCTCTGGGCTTGGGTTTGGACTTGGGATTGGGTGGAGTGCATCCGCTGTTTCTGTGCTAATTTTAGAGCTTTTACTGAAGGGCTTTAGCTGTAAGACAGCAGCGTTCAGTGTTAATGCTCTTCAGCACTTATTTTGACAGGCTTAATGGGTGTAACAGTGGGACCAGAGCGATTTATTGTGGGCTTTGTGGGATCACAGTCTCAGCCTTGAAAATGCGACAACTTAAAATTTTAAAGATTTCTTTTAATTGTTTTGCCGACGCGACATGTCTGATCTCTCCAACCACTGTTTAGCAAAAAAAAAAAATAAATAAATGAAGTTCTTGCACAATTTGGACAATTACAAATGATGCGACTGTCATCAGGCGACACGCGTACGGCAGAATCCTCCACCTGACTACCTGAAATAATGGCGAAACCACAAATTAAATTAAATCTAAAACAAAACAAAAAAAATAGCTACAAGAGCTACAAGTGGACACACATGTCCGAGATGTGCTGCCCGCCCCGAGCTCTGAGGCGGAAATAGACTGTGACATCCGCTGACAGCGTGAGGGAGAGAGAGGCAGAAGCCGAAGCCGAGGCAGACAGTCAAAGAATCTGAGAGCTCAGCCGCTGTCTCTCTGACTCTTTCCATATCCGCTGGACGTTGGCCGCAAAATTTAATTAGAAATCTGCACGACGCGTCCGACTGTTGGACCGGGCAGAGGGAGACTTCAAAGTCAGTTCAAAGCACTTTTGCTTCCGCCTAGACAACAACAACAAATACTCGTATATCTGTGTATACATTTTCTCACCTTTGCCAGAGATAATTAACTAACAAAATTTCTTTCAACTCTGCTCTTGTCATTCCCAGCAGTCACAGCCTCAGACACAGACACAGCCAGCAGTCACAGCCACAGCCACAGCAACAGCCTCATAGAAAAGCCTCGAAATTAGACCGCGAAAGCAATAATATCAAAAGAGAGACAAATAACCAGCAAAGCGTGCAAAAGGAAAAGCCAAGAAAATTATCGTTTGCTTGTAGTTCTTTTGTGTACGTGTGCCACACACAGTAGCAGTAGCCAGAGCCCAGAATAGCTAGAAAATTATTATTATGATAATAAATTAAAGTTGCCATTAATTTAGCTAAAACGAAACGCGAACGCGAACGCGGAACGCTGCTGCCCGATCGCAGCCCGATCGCAGCCAGAACGACCCTAGAGACCGACCCGCTTGGACGGTAGCACAATAACAATAAATAATAATTTGAAATAGGCGAAGCAACCAGAACAAAAAAAAAAAAATACAAGACAACACACAAAGAAGCTGTGCGAAAACCAAGTAACCAAGAGCAACAGAGCCATCTCCTCCTCCAGGTCCTCCAGAGAAACAGAACCGCAGCAGCAGCAGCAGCTAAAAAAAGAAAGAAAGACAAAAAAAAAAAACCAACACTGAAGAAAACCGAAAAGCAGCTCGAGCGCATCGAGCGTGCAAATTAAAAGCGCACAACAGTAGCTCCCGAGGAGCTTCAACCAGAGCAACAGCAGCAGCAACAGCAGCAGCAACATGGAAGTGGCTACAACAAACAATCACAGTCAGAGCCATCATCATCATCATCATCTGCAGGCAGCCCAGTCCCATGGCAATGGTGGGGCTGGGGGCTCCGGCTCCCGTTCCCCATTCCAGCGTGAGGTGCGTGAATGGCAACGCATCGATCCCAATACTGGAGCTCTGTTTAGTGGACGTTTGGAGGCAGATCGCTGGATAAATGGACCACTGAACAGCTATGGCAAGGTGAGCTACAAAATCTAGAGATGGCAGCGTGAATATTTACGAATTTACAATTATTTTTGGAGGCACTGAACGAACACAAGGGGGGGCGAGTTGTGGGTTCAATATTCTCTGGCGATGTGTTTCTTTTTAATCTATATATATTTCAAAGCATGTCAAAGGGTCCCAGGTCCATCTCCAAGCACACAATACCCAAACTAAAATGCGTTTACTTTTGGCTCTGATTGATGGCAAGCAAACCATGGACCATGGCTGGTCCATGCTGCTGCTGCTGCGGTCTAGTCTACCAGCTACCAGCCACACTCTGCTCCCGTCTAGACCTAATTGCTGTTGCTCTTTGTTTGTCCATCGTCTTTTAAATGAAATTGAAAGGTCCGCTCTGAGCTCTGCGTTCCCCGCTTACCGCTCAAGAAATCCAGACACTAGACACTGGACCGTGCTGCTCTCTAAATGGAGAGGCGTTCACTAATTTAGTAGAGACTGTGGCAATTGCCGCTTGATTGCTAGTTTGGGTTTCCTTGCTTCCCTTGATTTTAATCAGTTAATAGTTTATTTAGCTGAATACCCAGGGCAATGGGCAGGCACACAAAAAGAAGACGCAACAGGATGAACAGTATGAAAGCAGAACAAACGATCAAATCGTTGAAAAATCAATTGGAATATTTATGAGACAGAAGCAAAATAAAATGGCAGCCAGGAATGGGAATGGGAATGGGAATAGCCATTAAAGCTTCATAAATTATTCTAAATATTTTGGTGTAACATTTGGAAAGTGCCATTTCAATTGGAAGACTCATTAAAACTTTTCCAAGTGATTGGATTGGGCCAGAGAACTGCGCAGCACAGCACAGCACCGTTAGCAAAGCCAATAAATTAAGAACCTGAATGATGTTGGGGCTGCTGGTGGTTAGCGCAGCATACCACAGGTCCAATTGGACACTGCCGGCCACTGGCCACGTTTTGTGTGTCAGGAGGCAACGTTTTTTTTTTTGCCCCAACCCAACCCAAGCCCAGCCATTCCAACTGCAACTTCAAACCGCAGAGACAGACCAAGACCAAGACGAAGACAGCAAGATACTGCAAAACGTTGACCGTTTTTACTCAACCATAATTAACAGGTCACACGCACACTCGCACATTCGCCGTGAAGCGAAACAATCAGAGATCAAATTAATACGAATCCGAATTGCTGAAATACAGAAAGAGAGATGGGGAGAGGTGGACAGGGGGAGAGCTACGCTGTGTGCCACTTGTGCAGAGATATTTTTCATTATTGCTGTGGCGGGGGCTTTCGGTTTTATCTTTTTTTTTTCCTACTCTTGGGGGCAGAAACAAAGATGATAATTAATTCTCTGCTAGTCTTCAGATTTCACTTGTCTTTGGGCTATGGCTTGGCTGTGGCTGTGGCTTGTCCATTGATTGCTCTAGAATTTTGTCGGTTAATTATAAATGGTGAAGCACTTCGCGGTGCCTATCGTTAATTTTATGCCTGTTCATCCACTGGCAGGCTGGCTGGCAGGCCGTCCAACGAGCCGTCATCATTCCCATCATCATGATCAACATCAGCATCGTCTTGGTCGTGTGTGTGTGTGGTCAGGTTGAGGCTTTGCGCCTCGAGTGCCTTCGTAGACAAACAAAAACCAAATAAAATCTACACTCAAATAGCAGCCACATACTTAAACAGATCTGAACTCTCCGATACTCTACTTCGTTCTAACCGATTCGATCTGCTCTGCGGCTAGAACTTCCATCAGTGACATCATCATAGCTCAGGAGGCATTGGCGCTGCTCCGACTCGAACTTGAGAGATTGATCCAAATAATTATATGAATTTTTTCGTTTGATGAATTCTGATCGGCTTATGGCACAATAACAGAGTATCCATCCCTACCCTGCCCTGCCCTGCCCTGTCGTGCATGAGATCATAGTGGCATTTCTATGGAGTGTTGACCTCAGGTGTCGTATCTTGAATGGTATGTCAAAATATTTCCAATTTGTTGAGTACTTGCACGGATAAACATTTTTGGAATATTTTTAATTCATTTCATTTTTATATACAGAATATAAAAAGAGCGGCAAACTATAATTTTCTACACCGTAAATCAAAGGTTTTGTGTAGCAGTTGAAAGTATTTCGTATCGCGACAATTCTACCCGCACTTCAAGCTAATTCACATTTAAATTCGTCTCAAGTCGAAATAAATAATTTCGCTTCAAATAAATAAAATGGATGCGACTCTTCCTGCTTTCCACATTTTCTTTACAAGCCCTAATAATTGCCTAATTATTATATAAAATATATATTATTTCCGTATTGCAAATTCCTCTGCATTTATCAGCTTATTATTATTTGTTTTTTGAAGATCTGTTCAGATACCAGCAACTGTAATGATTGGCTGCGCTTCGGTTCAAAGTTGACATTTGAAATGCAATCTTCCTGGTGCCGAACGAATGACCGAACAGTCACTCAATTTGGCGGCTGTTACATTCACTCGATCGCTGCTGATATGCCCTTTTGCGGCTGATCGCTTCTTTTATGACTGCAGGGTATTCGAAGCACCAAAGAGACACCAGGCAGACGCGAAGAGAAAAACAGCGACAGAGACAGCGACAGAGACAGAGAGAGAAACAAACCATTGAAAGTTGTTTCATTCGGCTGACTTTGTAGCCGCTGCTTATCGCGATTGAACTTTGTTGCCACTGACGACGACGACGCCGACGCCGATGTCGAGGCTCACCGAAAAGATGAAAGAGCGCAGAGGCTTGGAGGGAGGGGGCGATCGAGCGAAGTGTACAATCGACGGGAAACGATCAGGCGGTAAGAATTTTCCAAAGAGTAGTCAGTCCTAGCATCAGTATCAGTTTCAGTTTAAAGAGGTGCTCGGATTCGATTTGATTGCCAAGTCCGGGATGCGAACGGTTAGGTGAACCGATGTCCCGCTGCTCCACTCCCCCCCCACTCCTCTCAGTCGCTGTGCCGACAAAGCTTGCCTTGCCGGCACAGATCACAGATGAAATCAATTTGGCAATAGTCAATAAACGAGAGGAGAGCAGACGCAGAGCCAGAGCAGACGCACCCAGTCAGCCAGCCAGCCAGCCAGTCCCCGTTAGGCAACACACAGATGGATAGATCCATGACAACTTCTTCATTAGCATTATGGATTTGTTGCAACAACAGGCCAGCGAACAGAACCGACAACCAAACCGAACCCAAGCAAAACAGCAATGGCAAAAATTTACATTTTGCAAATGATTTTTGCAAGCATGCAAGCGCAAGCTCCAAGCTTCAGCATTTGAATTATTTGCCTGCAGTTGGAGCTGCAGTTGGAGCTGGGGAGTCACTGTTTCTCTATTTGTGGCCATGTTGCCACAATGTTGCAGCCGTCTAACGGTATAGAGCCGCTGGCAATGCCGCCGCCGCCGCCGCCTTTGTGGGTCACTAGGTTGCCACAAGCACAAGTCTAACCAAAAAAAAAAAAAAATTGCTGCAAGTACCAGAGGAAGATGCAGCCAGCCAGCCAGCCAGCCACTCGAGAGATTTTCTTTTACTTGTGGTCAAGGTGTGACGACTCTCTCGTGTGTGTGTGTGTGTGTGTGTGTGTAACTGTGATAGGTGTATGAGTATATCCTCTGGTGTTTCTCAGTTGTTTGCTCTGTAAGCCATTAGGCCATTTGGCTTTGGCCTGCCACACGTAAATTACTTGCAACTAATTGAGGATGTCAACTGACGTGTCTTACTTCAATTAAGTGTTTCCTCTGCCCATTAATGAACTCTCCACACACACACACACACCACACATCCAGCGACTGGGAAAATATGTATAGATATGGTGGAAAGAACGGCAGGCAGGTGGGGAGTCTGGGGCAACACAACAAACGACTTGGGGCATCAACTTCAATGACGCAAACACAAACCGGGGATACATATACATATACATACCACTCGTATGATTTACTACGAGCACTCGGCTGCCCCATGCCACACTCGACTATATAGAGATATAAAGCCAACGAGATCGTGACAGAAATAATGCATATAAAAATGTATATTATTATAGTTTAGGCATCAGGCAGGCAGGCAGCCAGCCAGGCAGGCAAAAAAGGTCCAACAAAATGGCCTGTGAGCAGCGGAAGGGCCTACCCGGCCGAAAGCGCAGGAGAGCAATTTGTGGGGCGCACAGTGGTGTGTGTGGGATATAGAGGGAACTGGGAATGCAGGGCTTTATTATCGATCTTAAATTCGATTATTCTATCTAAATTCCATCCAGTTCCCAGCTGATTCTATCCGCCTGCCAGAACAACCATCCAAACTCGTATTCTGCCCATTTTTAAAGTCTCTTTTTTGAGTCACACATTTCAGAGGCATACAAATTATTGTCTTTATTATTATGGCTGGAATTTGAATGGGCTGCATCCCACTGTGCACAGTGTGCAGCGTATGTCTGATGTACCAAAGTCAGTGCCAGCTAAAAATACAAAAAGAAAAAGAGTCAACGCTTTGGCATGTCTATGCAGGCGATCTGTGTGTGAGAGAGCTGCCAGCCATGCAGCCATCTCAGCCAGAAAAGGCGACATGCATGCCACGGACTGAAGGACTGAGAGACTGAAAGACTGAGGGACTGAGAGACTGAGAGACTGTAAGACAGGCGGATAGACACACAGACATGGGGCATATGGCAGAGCAGCAGCAGCAGCAGGCAGGAGATAGACAGTCAATCTTATGGCCACAGACAGACAGCCAGACAGACAGACAGACAGACAGCCACGACCAAGCAGACGATGTCGACTAAGATGATGATGATGATGATGATGATGGTGTAGCATCATTAAATTCGTTTCAGAGCATGGCCCAGGCACAAGCAAAAATATTTTGGCATACTCCGTAGACCATAGACCAAAAGCAAAGCAAAGCAAACAAAACGGGGCGTGCGGTCGCTGGGCGCGCTCTACTATACCCAGTCAGCATAAACTTTTTAAGCATATGTTTTTTAGAATTTTAGAATTAAAAAAAAAATTTACATTTAACTTTTTTGCTACATCTATATACATCTACAATGTATATTCTACATCTAACATGTAATTACATCTCCTCCGCTAGGGTTGCCCCCTGAACGGCTGTGGGCGGAGGAATGCTTGCTTATGCGTCAGGGGGGGAGGGAAGCAACTAAAATTTTCTTGGCTATTTATTCCTCTTTCAGTTGGCAGTCTGGTGTGGGCTCTACTTTCGTCAAAGTGCCTCCACAGATTTTCGTCCTTGTGGGGCGGGGGGGGGGGCATTATCCTCGTGGTATCACATGGTGAAACCAATTGGGCCTAGCTTGTGTGGCGCTAACGACGCAGCGCAGACAGCGCAGCAGACGCGCACGCGCGGCGCCTGGGCTCGCTATTCTATAAGATTTTCTTTATGGGGTAGCCTCTCTCGTTACACACATCCACTTTTACCACAAATCTAATATACCCCTTAACTCTTTTTTGAGTACGGGTATAAAAAATAGAAGCAAAACAAAAACCGAAAGCAAAGCCAAAGCCAAAGCTAAAGCCAAAGTCTCTTCCTCTACATCATCACGACTTTGGCTGTTATAATATATGCGAGAGGTTGGGGTTGGGGGGGCATGCTGTGTGGCAAGTCGTGGCTAAGTCTGCATTTCATTGAACCTTCAACTTGACTTTGCGATTCGGATTTGGGATTTTTGTATTCAGCAATTTTCAATTTGGTCTTTGTACGTACGAGGCTGGCTTTGGCTTTGGCTTCTTCGATCTGCTGCAGGCTAGAGCCTAGCTGTAGCTTTTATCGGCATTGCCTCAGCGGCTGCAGTGTGGAGTGTGGAGTGCTGGCTGCTGGCTGGCTGGCTGCCTCAAGTTCGAGATCATGACACTGATCGTCGGCTGATCATTTTGGCCAAGCTTAAATAATTCATTTACAGTTGGCTTTCTTTCGCCAGCTGCCTGCCGCTGCTGCTGGCTGCTGGCGCTGCTGGCTGCTGGTTGCTGGCTGCTACTTTGATTGAGGCAACCCCCTCTGGGGGACAGCCAGCTGTGAGTTTCAACAGCCATGCAGATTGGCACAGCTTAATTAGCTGCAGCAGACAACAAGACTCCAAGATCAAGACCAAGACTAAGACCAAGACCAAGACAACAACCAGGCCACGAAAAAAAAAACTTGCCATTCAGCCTACACATGGCCAACAACAGAAAGCTAAAATGGCACACACAGCAAGAGTGCAGAGCAGCAGAGCAGCAGAACCGCGAACATCGCATCGAACAGCATTTGGTTAGAAGTAAAAGAGGTCATCGATAGACAGGCACACACACACACTCGGGCTGCATTGCGAAAAAGGAGCTACAGCGGCTACAGGCTCTCCAAAACAAAATACAAACAAAATGCAGAACAACAACAGCAACAGCAAAAAGAAAAGAAGTCTCCGCTGCTGACCATGGCTATAATATGGCGTGAGAAACTCTGGCAGAACGTGCATGGCCCAAGGGTTCCAAAAAAAAAAACCTTGCTTACGCTCAATAATTTATGTCTGCTGTCCCGCAATTTTTGTACGTACCCTTTCTTGGTCACAGACCCCCTGCACCCTGCACCCTGCAGCCCCAACAATCTTTTTGCTCAAGGATGAGTGTGACTTTAGGGAGCCGCCAGAAATTATTATTATGCTGCGGCCATTGCGGAGAAGCTGAAAGCTGCAAGTCGAAGAAGTCGAAGGGCACAAATGAAACGAATTGATTGAGAACTTTTCGAAGGGATTTAACCCTGAACCGAAATACGCCGAGTACAGTGCATAACAGTAGCATTCGGCTGATGGCAGTCAAGCAAATATTGGAGTTGGGTTGGAAGATATAACCACACGAAACAGGGTTCATTTTAATTGATTTTGGATTAGCTATGAATCACATTGATCCCTAATAGAGCAGAGTGGAATATAGAACGTAAATGGATCATTTACAAAGAAGAAATTAATGTACAAAATAAATATATAAAAGTAGAAATATAATGTAAATTCTGCTGCAATAAAATTAGCATAAAATGCTACAAATATTTCGCTGAATCTACTTCCCATTGTTGCACACAGAACTGCTGCACAATGCTGCAATAATACTCATAATTTTCCCATCTAATGAAGCTAATTATAAAGATCTCACCACAGTCTCTGTGTAGTGTGGCCCATTCTCCCAGTTAAGACAAAGAAACGAAGAAAAAAAAAACCTAGAACCCAAAACCCCTGACATGACTCAACCCCACAACAGAATTGTGCATAGAATATGCGAATTTTTCATTGTTCATTCCAGCGGCCTGCGGGACGACAGAACATTCAAATTTTTGGTATATTCTATAAAGACAATGCTGCACTTTGACTCTGAATCAGCCGTTTGCCGTTTGGTCATTGACACGAATGCGGCACACGAAACTGGACATGGACATGGACACGGGGACACAAGTGCAGGCGTGGCAGGCATGGACCGGACGTACAGACCAACAGCGGGTTAAAGTTTTTATTTGGGGCATATAATGCATTTTTAGCACTATAAATCATCAAAGCAATCGATTGCCACAATCGATCTTTGGCCGTTTCAAATGTGTTTTGTGTCCAGTTTTCAGTTTGTTTTTATTTTTTATTTTCTAGATACTCTTTAGCAGCTGGGGGGAAATATTACTTTTGGGCATTGATTTGAAAGAAAAAGAAACATTTTTGTATATATTTTAAAGTGTTTATTTACCAACTTAAAGTCTAACAAAATCAGATTGAATTTAAATCCATATTTAGCTTAAAAAAAAAAACCATCAATGAGCAAAAGTGTATGCCAGACTTCGGTTGCCGCAGCTCTTATTTTTCTCTCCAGTGTTTTATCTCTTGTGTGGTGGTGTGTCATAGCACGACCCAATGAACGGATCTGCTAATTGTTTGAGTCCATGGGTGCAAAAGGGTGCAGTTGCAGTTGCAGTGCGCTCTCGAGAGTCTCTCGTTTTGATTTGTGGCTGGTTGGCTGGCTGGCTGGCTGGCTGGTCACGTGTGCCGTAAGCGAGCGAGCGAGCGGGGCACAGCTGTCCAGATAAGAGCCGCCACGGAGCACGGAGCATGGAGCACTGATCACGGCGAAGGCGATGTGATCAAGCGGCTAGGCGAGACGCTTGACGGTCAAGTGTTTCGTCTGGCAACTTTCATACGCCCCGTTGCCGAATGCCGAATGCCATGCGACAAAACCAAACACTTTAACGCCCCACACCAGGGACACACCCACAAAAAGCAAAAACCCACACACACACACACACACACAAATACACAGATATATATCTATATATGCTGCATACAATCGCCAGCGGATTGGATTGCTTGTTAAATGTTTTATTTATATCATTTGTAAGAGATTTGAATGTTTGTTTAGGCAGGGAATGGCTCAAGCCTGAGCGTTTATCGGCCCGTAATTGAGATATTAATTAGATCTTCGAGTGCTTGGATAGGTGTGCAAATAATGCGAATGTAATGATAAAATAATAAATAAATTTACTTCAGACAGAGAATAATAAGTAAATAAATAAAATTGAATATTTCTTGGACCCCCTATGGAATGTAATTTCTGTCCACTGATCAGATTCAACTAGGGCTCTAAATACACTTTCAATCCCCCCCGCAAATGTCCAACTAAATTTTACAATAAAATCTAAAATACTAAAATAAAAAAAAATAAAAATAAATAAAAAAAAAAAAACCAAAAATTAATTTTAATACAACTCCTTTGATCCGCTCATTTTCCTGTCATTCACTCAATCCCGCAACTCTCTTTCTCTCTCTCTCCCATCTCTCCCACTCTCTCTCTCTCTCTCTCTGGCAGATATCCGATTCCCAAAACATCTCACAGCCGAACGGCACACAGCACACACAGCGCAAACAGTTGGAGGTGCTGAAGGCACGCACCGCCAACGGCGCCATGCAGGTGATACGCACCCAGACAGTACAAAAGACTTCATCCACCACGAGCAGCACATCGCGCGGCTGGGCCACATCCTCCACATCCACCACGACCCGCACCAGCAATGGGCTGCACGGCAGCAGCGACAGCGCCAGCGCCAGCACCAACAACACTCTTCTCGATCCCATTCCGCCAGCCATTTGGGCAGCGCCAACCAGATGCAGGCCCAAGCCCAGAACCAGGCCCATGCCCATGACCATGCCCATGCCCATGCCCATGCCCATGCCCTCCTCTCAGAGTGTTGACATCTGTGAGCTTAGCGATGATGATAGCAGTCTCAGTGGCAGTCTAAGCAGCGACGTTGGCATCGTATCCCCGGCCATGTCCACGCTGCGCAAGCTGAGCAATGGCCAGGAGCACATCGACGATCATGTTGATTTTGTTGTGATTAATGGTGAAGCCAGCGATCAAGACGCTGACGTCGCTCATTTGCACAAGCTCGGACACAATTTGTTACCCGATACGGCACCAAGTTTGAAATTGAGCAATCTAATGGTAAGTCCGCAGTGCGCAGTCCACAGCCCATAGGCCAGAGACAAGACTCCCAATATACGGTAGTCCACTCCACCAGCATTTGTGGCTCTACAATTTTTCACTCGCTTGCTTCTTGAGGCTTTTCTTTTCGCTTTTCTTTTTGCTTTTTTCTTTTTGCTTTTATTCCTTTTTTTTTGGTTGTGTTTTGTTGGCTCATTAGCATGCGCCGAGTCGATGTTTGCTTGTGTTTTTTTTTGTGCCATTGCTTTTGCCTTTGCAGTCATTTTTCTTCCGAGTTTGCACGGAGTACGAAGGTGGAGTAATCTCCTGCCACGGCCATGGCAATGACCGAAAATGGCCAGTTGTTAACAGTCTCTGATTGTTGTTGTTTAGGGGGAAAATGCTCATGCTCTGAGTGTGCTCTGAGCTGCGGCAAAAATCATCATGTAATGATGATCCGTGGATGAGAGGGTGGGAAAATGTTAGTGGCAGGAACAACAGACAACGGTCAACAGTCAACAGTTGTCGAACAGATTGATGTGACGTGGGGGGAGCCAATGAACCCAATGATTATGGGTTGCAGAGACCAAGAGGAAGCCCACGATAAGGTGCTGCCCCCTCAGCGGCAGAAGCTGCAATTGCTTGAATTTCTTTTGAACAGATTCTAGAGTACAATATTTGGCCTGTTTTTTCTATATCTACGGCTAAGATTTCTCCTGCTAATAATAATAATAATAATATCAATTAATATTTTGCATCGAAAGATTCCTAATATATAAAACGAGTTAAAAATTCTGTTCCCGGTAGCATAGGTAATCCAATATTATTCCCAACACTTGACAACTCTAGGTGCGGGAATTGCCTTTCAAAAGTTGAGCTGCGGTCATCTGTCACAGCCATAAAAGTATTATGCATAGATTAATAGCCGCAATCATAGCAGAACATCGCAGGGGCTACCAAAGAAAATTAACAAGAGTCACACGGCTCGTCGTCTGCAATAGGCAAAATGCCATACATCACTCCAGAAAAAAACACCAGACTAGACGACACACCCCCACACGCTCGCTCAGTCTGTCTCTCCCTCTGTCTGTCTGTCTGTCTGTCTAGTTCTAATGAAAGATTGAGTCAGCAATCGCATCGAAATGGAATGAAAATCGATAATAATAGCCCAGGCACAGGCCCAAATTAGGCGCTGCTTCGCACTTCTTCAATCGGGAGGGACATTTGGGTCACGACCACAATGGAAATTTCTTTGCCAACTCTCTCGTCGCTCATTAGGCCAAACAGTAAAAAAAAACCCTGTCTAATTATTGGGCAGCGTTAAAAAAAAGCGAACGAGTAGCTGCGAAAGTGTCTTGCCTCCAGACACAACGCCCACAATCAGCAGTCGGTTCTGGTCCATCAAAACTTGACACAAAAAATTTCTTTGGCCACATTTTTTCTTCATTTCAACAAAAATATAAATGAAAGAAATAAAGTAATATGTGAAGAGGTGGCAGGAGATATGCAATGAAGAAAGGTAAAAATACTGCAGGGGGTTTCAGCCCCAAGGGTTACTTATGCTAAAAGAAAGAAAAGTCAAGGAAGCTATAAAAAAAAAGTTACTGTTGAAAACTTGATGAGTTTTCGTTGGTTGGAAGACTTGACTTTAAGTATTTGATTTTCTTAGTTTTAGATTTTTTCTTGCATATTTTTTGCTTGCTGTGGGAGTCGCCCTGGGAAATAATTACAGCCAGCGAAGACTAACTGCTCTTCCAGATATATTAATGGATAAAAGTAATCATCCCGATATATGCCCATACCTATATCATTAGTCCATAATCTTTGCATAATATTTTTAGTTATTTATTTTTATTTATTTTTTTTAAATATTATAATATATAATAATAATATATAAATATATTATATTATCTATTTATTTTTAAATTTATTTTTTATTTATTTTTATTTATTTATTTTTATTTATTTATTTTTTATTTATTTTTTAAATATAATCAAAGACTATACAATATTGTATAGTTTTTGATATAAGCTAACATTTATTTGCATTAAATAATAATGCAGCTTATAACGAAATAGAGTACCAAATAACGAGACCTTAGACTATATAATTTCATGCATATCATATGCGTAACAATCATCAATCATTTGATATCTTAAATATCATATATATGTATATATATATTCTTACAATGCGGAAACTCATTTAGCCATGGCTTAAATTACACACAGAGTCAAATGCGACTTAAGTGCTAAGCAGTTCCTGTCACACAATGCACCCACTCCCACTCCTTGGAGTGCCAGCAACAATAAATAAATACGAGCATAAACGGAACAAGAGAGCGAGAGACACGACACCCGCACTCGAGCTCAGGCTCTTCTTTTGTGATTTTTTACATTTTATTTAATTTTATTTTTATATTTTTACTTTGCTTGCCATTTACAGAAAAGCAGTTCGAGTATTTCCAGCCAAAGCAGCAACAATTCAAATTTAACAACTGCAACAGCCGCCACAACAGCCACAGCTACAGCCACAGCGGGCAACACCCACAGAAGTGCGGGCAAAATAAGCCTACATGCAATTGTTGGACCAGAATCATCATCATCATCATCCACAACCACATCCACGTCGTCCGCTTGGGCCAAGCAGCAGCAGCAGCAGCAGCAGCAGCAGCAGGCCGACTTATATGGCCAGCCAGCAGCGAGCAGTCGCGTGGGTGTATCCCAGCTTCAGCCTGGCACTGGCACTGGGGCACTGGATCTGATGCTGACGTAGCTGTTGTTGCTGGTAGTACGCCAACGCGACTTCGTCGTGATTTGGAAAGTTTCCGGCATTATAACGATGACGCTGCCAACGACGATGATTTGCGGTGAGTGAGCAGCAAGCAGCAGCAGCTGAAAAATTCAAAAATTTCATGGCATTATCCGAACGGCTCTCTGATACCAAGCACACACATTACTCGTACTTACTCGTATTTTATTCCTTGGCAGGCTCAGCGCACGGCATCAGCGTCGCCAGCAGGTGTCCCAGTCGGTCTATGCCCCGCCGCTGCCAGCCATTGGCACGGGGCTGCTGCAGCGATCACGCTCCATATCCACGGACGATCTCAGCCAGGACTGGGAGCGCAACGCGGAGGAGCAGGACGAGCAGGAGCCGGGCGAGTGGCGACGCGTCAGCAAGCTGCGTCGCTCCTTTCAGTCGCAGGACCACTACAAGGCAGCCATCGCACGGCCACGTCCGTTGGACTTGCCCAGCAATTCGGTGAGTGTGGCCCGCATGCGAGCGGAGCTGGAGAACGGGCGTCGCCTGAACACGGCCATGCGGAACAATCACGTGGATCTGGCCGCCCTCGACACCATACTGAACATCCAAACGGCGGCGGCCAAGCCAACGGCGGCCAAGCGGAACACTTTCCTCACGGCCGAATCGCTGCAGGAAATACGCGGCAGGCTCAAGAAACTCTCCGACGAGAGCCTGTACAAGGAGGACTTTCTGGCCTACCACCAGGCACCACGACCGCCCACGCTCCGGGAACAGTCCGAGGTGGTGCAGGTGGCCGTGCAAGTGCAAGCAGCTCCACTGCCGGCACTGCCCTCCTCCGCCTTTCGGCCCGTGCACAACACCCACAGCCTGGAGTCGCGGAGTCAGCGGAGTCAGAAGGACACCAGCTCCAGTGAGTGGCATTTGCGGCGCAAGTCGTACGGCTTCGAGAAGATGTCGCCGCCCGAGGATAAGAGCATCTTCCGGGTGGATGCCTCCACGGACAGTGGCCTGGGACGCTCCGGCGAGCAGCTCGGCAACTGGTCGCCCACGGAGCGGGAACGCGAACGGGAGCGTAACGCTGCAGCGGCAGCCCAGCTGAATAATGTCGGAGGCACCATTATACACTTTGGACGGCGGGCCAAGCCTCCGGCCAGTCCGGCCCACGAGGGGGAGCTGAGCAAGCGGCACTCCATAGCCGTGGAGGAGACCTGGCGCGACATACGCAAGACATCGCAGGTGCATGTGAATGGCGGCACTGGCGCGGTGACCAGCAGCAGCAGCAGCAGCACCACAAACAGCAGCAGCCACCTGCAGCGGGGCAGCGCCCAGAAGCGTGTGGAGTTCTGCAAGACAGAGGTACACTTTGCCGCCGAATCGGGACGGGTGAACATTGTCGAGACAGATGGCAAGCCGCCGCCCACCAATAACTTTCGCCGACGTCGACGCAGCAGCACCGCCAGCGGACCGCTACAGAGTCTGGTGAAGTCAGCCAGTGCCGCTGGTAGCGCCACGAGCAGCAACAACGACAATGTGACCCACTTTGGGGACGATCCACAGCGACGTAAGACGATAGCCAGCAGCACAGTGGCATATCGAGCCACACTCATGGATTCCCCGGAGTTGGTTAGCCAGCCCACATCGACATCGACATAGCGACAGCGTCATCGACAGCGACAGCGGCATCAACAATGTCCCAGGTGACAGTCACGACATTGGCAAAAGCCGTGGAGCTGGAGCCACGCTACAGTCTGACGGAGTCGACGTCACGGAACAGCTACACCTCGACCAGTGGCGTGGATACGACAGACAACGAGACGGATGAGCTGTCCAACATACGCGGCATACTGAAGAACAAGCCAGTGAAACCGAAACCCTATCATCTGGGTGAGAATATCGAGAGTGCCGATGTCCTGTGGAGTGTGCCAGCCATGAAGGGGGAACGTGGTGGTGAGAGTCCCTCGGGCAGGGATAGTGGTAAGAGTGTCTCACAATAAGCTAACAAGGGCATACATTTCTCATATATATATTTGTGCCCCCCCCACAGGCATCACCAGTGACTCGCCCATCTGCGCCAAATCGGTGGCCGAACGCATACGAATTGTGGAACAGCGACAGCAAAAGCAGAAGCAGCCCTCGCCCGCAGGCAATGGCTACTCGACCAAGATCAATGTGAGCCTGGGCGCCGAGGAGTGGCCGGAATCAGGTTGGTATACGGCATACTTTGGGTAGTACTTTAACTAGTTTGGTAGATTGTGCTGTAGATTTGTCTAGCAAAAAACATTTTGTGGTATTTTCTGTAGTGTTATTTCTGGGATATTAGCCATGGACTCCACTGCTCGAACTCTCCTGCTCTCTGGGCTCTCTGATCTCTCTGCTCTCTCTCTCTCCCTCGTAATGCATGTGTGCGTGTCTGCTCCACTCTGAATGCTGCTTCTCCTACCTCCCACCTACTCCCACATCTAATGCTACATTCTAACTCACTTGCTAACTGAATAACCCAACCGCCCTCGGAGCACAGCTGCCACTACCAGCCGTGTCTCTCCAGGCGATGCCATTCAAGACTAAATACCAAATGCCAAATGCCAAAACCACACCAACAACAAACACTTTCCGCACATTTCCCATACAGGCACGCATCATTATCAGCTGCAGCAGCAGCAGCAGCAGCATCGTCGCGCCAGTGCCCAGGAGCTGTTGCTGGAGGATCTGCGCCATCATCAGCGCATACTGGATGAGGGCCTCAAGTCCACGTCGCTCATCATGAAGACCATGCGCTCGGCCAGCGAATTCGATGAGGCCATGCGACGCCTGAGCATAGCCTCGATCGAGTCCGCCCTGATCCAGCCGACCATTGTGGTGCCCACGCCAATGCTGCGCTTGCACAGCTACCAGGAGGAGACGTCATCCTCGCGCCGCACCTCGACCACCTCCATAACGAGCAGCGATCTGTTTGGCAGCGCCCTGTACGATTCGTTGCCGCGCACACCGCTGGCACCGCCGCGGCTCAAGCTGCTGGGCAACACGCAGATACCCGTGAGCCAGCAGCTGACACAGCTGCGGCGGCTGTACGATGCCGCCGAGCAGGATGCGGAGGAGGACAGTGCCGATGAGGAGGTGAAGCGCTACTTTCGCGACAGCAACAACAGCGACAGCGGCGGCGGCACACAGGCCAGCTCCTCGCCGGAGACAGTGCATCAGCAGCAGCACCAGCACCAGCAACAGCAACAGCATCCCCATCCGCAGGCGGATGTGTTCAGGGGCAGCGAGTACTCGAGCAGCTGGAGCCGCTTGAAGGCCAAGCGCACCATCTGGAAGATTGAGGCACAAGATCAGATGCTGCAGCGAGCAGGTAACTTACAGGTTGAGCCATTTCGAGGGGGTTGGGAGAGGGGCAGGGCTTTGAGGGCTAGAGGAGTTCATTTTAGGATATCAGGCAGCAGGGCGGGGGGGGCAGATCTCCAGGCAGAGTACTCGGTCCACTCGGTCTAATCATCACTTTCTCTCGCTCACTTTCTTTCAGATCTGCCCAAATCGAATGTCATGAACATAGCGCTTCATTCGCCGCGTGTGGAGAAGCCCAAGGCCACGCCACCCACTCTGCGCATTGGCCAGCTGATTCCAGTGGCCAGGCCGCGTACCCTCTTCATTCAGCCCACGTCCGTGGAGGCGCCCGACGAGTCCGGCAGCGAGTCCCTGAAAATAGTGAAGGAGGCGCGCGGTGCACGCAAGCTGCGCGAACATGAGCTCTCCTACTTTGGAGTCCAGCAGCAGCAACAGCAACAGCAGCAGCAGCAAACGAAATTGTCTACAACCTCAACGAACCCGAGAAGAACGCTGCCCTCGCGCAGCAAGTTGAGCCACACGGAGGAGACGGCGCCCACAACGACAACCACCAAGTGGCAGCTGCTCAACGATCGACCCGACCTGTTGCGGCACAGTCCGCAGGACAACGACTACGACGACGACGACGACAACGACGACGCAGACGCAGATGATGATGATAATGAGGAGCACTGTTATGAGAACATTGCCAACGAGCTGACCACAACATTCCGGGTGAAGTCGCCCTCGTCCTCGCGATCCCGTTCGCCCGGCAACTACGAGCGGAAGACAGACCTGCAGCGGGATGCACAGATACTGAGCGAAATGACCCGCAACGCTGATCAAACTTTGAAGGTATGTGGCTGCTGATTTCCAAGTATATTTTGATCGCCAATTGAACGCTTCTGCAGGCACTCTCCGATGAGGCGGCCATCAAGGATCAGCAACGACGATCGTGCTCACTGCAGCGTCGCAGTGGCAAGCCCCTGGAGACCATCGATGAGAAGGTCAACAAGGTCTGCAATGGGGAGCGTCAGTCGCTGAGTGTGGCCCGTGGCACCTTCGCCTCGGAGGCGCGTCGCAACTCACGACAGTCGACGCCCTCCCCAACACCCACACGGGCACGCAGCTCCTCCCAATCGTCCATCGAGTGCTGTCCCCGTGACCGTTCCCGCTCCAGCTCCCGTGAGTCGAACACCCAAGGCGCCGGCTCCTCGGACGACCAGGCCACCAAGCATCGGGCCGAGCGTCTGCGCATGCGCACCCCCAAACGCGAGAAGTCGCGACACGAACCGCCCGAGCAGCGCACCAGTCGTCACACCAGCAAGCCCAGATCGAGCACAACCCATGCAGCGGCTGTGGCTTCGGCTGCCACTTCTTCGTTGGAATCAAAGCGCAGCTCCCATCACAGTCGTCACCGAGAGGTGGAACACTCCAGCGAGAGCAAACACGGCTCGGGCATCCGTCTGCTGCGATCCTCACGGGTCAGCGACGAGAGTCGTCCCCGTCAGAGTGCCCTGCGCGAACGGGAACGAGAACGGGAACGAGAACGGGACCGAGACCGAGAACGCTCCCGAGGCAGTGAGAAGCATCGCGAAGAGCTGACACGTTCGCGGGGTAAGTGACACCTTAGGGCATAAGCACGGACTCTGCCACACAGGATCGACTCGAAGGAAAAAAGATCTATTGCTTATCTCTTGCAGAATTACTCGTTTTGGGCTTGCTCATTATGGGTGCCACACAGCCCCAGAGGATGGGCAAACGTTTTAGGTTCGATAGATTAGATTAGATCCGATCAGATTAGTTAAACAAAACTAAACAGCACACACACACATATACACCATATACACCCACTTAAACACCAACAACAGACCAAGCTAAAGACAACTAACAGCACAGTTCCACGAGCAGCACATTCGCTGATCATTTTAATAGCAAATAAAACTCAAAGATGCCGATGCCTTCGATTAAATATTGCAGGTCTGCCTGGGCACAAGTTATGCACCAAATATCAATGAATAAAATTGATAATTGAGCAGTGAAAAATATGCCAAAAACAATTCATTTTCACACCGCTGAGTCCAAGACAGTTAACAGCATTTGTTTTAGTTGGTAACTAAAAGGATTTCGAAATTAAATCACAAAAGCAGGCACCATAGATTGGAGTATTAAATGGAAATTAATTTAGTTTTGTTCCAAGGCAATCCCATAACTGTTTCACACCCCGAAAGTTCTATAAAATCTACCCACACCTGCAGTTGAATTTAAACCAGTTAACAGTGTTGTTTCTGCCATTATTTCAATCGGACAAGAGCTAATCCCTTGCCTATTTCTACTGCAGGTCACTCCAGTCGCTCTAGACACAGCAGCGAGCAGGCAGCACAGGCAGCCGGAACGCGGGAGAGTGGCAGACCAAGTAAGACGAGATCGAGTCGCAGCAGTCACGAAGCGGCGACAGCACACAAAAAGTCCACCACAGCAGCAACAGCAAAATCATCGAAATCCACAACGCACAAAGCAGCAGCCAACCACAGCACTGCAACCACAACAACCAACAGCAACAGCAACAGCACAGCTCTAACGCCATCCACGCACAACGAACTGACGTACGTATACGTAACGAATTTAGCCCATACAAAAGCCAGGCAGGAAGTACAAGTGGCAGCGGAATTGCCAGCGGAAGTAGATGCAGATTATGCCAGCATTGAGGAGATATCGAATCCGAGTCCGATGGCACCAATGCCACCGCCGCGTCGCAAGCGTAAAAGATCGCTCATACCCGTGCCCGTGCAGCCCACCGCCTCCTACGAGTACCGCACTAAGCTGGAGATGATACCGCCCAGCTACTCCAATCAGTCGACGCTCAGGTGTCGCAGCATGGCGCGGCGACCGGGCATGAAGAAGCCCTCGCTGAAGGCCACCCAGTCGACCAGCTCGAGTTTCGCCTTTCTGCCGTATCTGCCGGCCAAGCGCAACTCGAGTGTTAGCCATGTGTATGACAACTATTTGCTGTATACGGCAGCCGGCGGTGCCAGTGCCAGTGCCAGCCAAAAGCTGGAAAAACTCCGTCCGTATCAGAATAATCTGAGCAATGATCATGCCCAACTGTTTGGCGGTACGGCTGTGGGAGGAGGTGCGGCTAGTCGGGGTCCGGGTCCGGGTCCGGGTCGGCTGGGCGGCTGGCCAAAGCGTCTGAGGATGCGGCAGGTGCGCAGCAGCGTCTCCACGCACCAGCCCTTCGGCATCTGCACATGTTCATAGTCAGCGCTGGAGGCACACGCTCCATAGACATAAAGCACAGCCCAGCACAGCACAGCACAGCCCAGCACAGCACACACTCGTAGAGAACTGAAACCAAATATAAGCAAAACAAACAAACAAACAAACAAACAAAAATATTGTATCGGATGCAAGGATCTCGATCTCGTCACACACAAGTCACACACATATCAAATAATAATCCCAATGCACGAAAATGTTTGATAAATATTTGAATATCCCCCCCCTCCCCGCCAACCACTTCCGTTCCACAACTATATAAACACGATCCCAATAATCCCACCCACTCCGTCACTGTGTTCCCCTACTAATACTAAAACAAACACCAAGCAAGCAAAACTACTGATCTGTGAGAGATTTTCGTTGTTAATTTTATTTGAATATTGTTTTTTTGGAGCGCACACAAATCAAACAAAAACAAAACAAAACACAAAACAAACCCAACCCGGCCAAAGCACACACGCACAAAAAGGGGCAGGGCCATCGAATCCATTTGTTGGATTCGTTGTTCCATCTGGTTCTGTTTTTACTTTTCACAGCGTAAGCGTTTATTTTTTCAAAATTTTGTTCCCTTTTCTAACCCCCCCCCCCAAGTATGGCATGTTGGGTCGGACCTAAGGAGTATATGTACCTATTGTACGTGTATTGTAGACGCATTGTATTTTGCATGGCATGTTTGGAATTAGTAGTATTAACTGCCCTACCTTCGGGGATTGTAGTAAACCTTATTAAATTCTGCTAACATATTTAGGTGATACTTCCCTCGGATAACTGCATATCTATTTTTTTCCTATTTAATTGGTAAATTGTTTAACCTTCGACTGGCTGCTGTTTCTATTCGTTGGATATTGCATGTTTGTGAACCATTAAAACCCTATTAATATCCAATCCTAACTCTCTCTATCTGACTGCCCACTCATGCACTTCGTCGCCACTCTATCGTATCCGTAGTATTCCACTCTAAAAACTGACTATGAACATGTTGCTGGAAACAAGACAAGAAACCACAAAAGTAAATCAAATCATCAAATCAATGAAATTGGAACTGGCAAAAAAAAAAACCAAACCACATCAAGCCTTGCTCTGTTCTATTATTCTTTAGCAACCTGAAACTACGTAGTTGAAGTAGCATTTTGGAAATACTATCTCCTAAGAACAGTAGAAAAACTATTAAAAATGCAGTCGAAATTTGTTTAAATATTCATTAAAAAAAAACTAATCTATCTATCCCTTTAGACACGGTAAAAGCACACTGAATGGACACCACCATCAGCATCAGCAGAGCAGCAACAGCAAGCATCATGTATCAGCTGCGCATGGCCATCGGGATCAGCCCCATCATGTGCACAGCCTGACAACGACGACCATTGCGGCCTCCAGACATCAGCGGGAACGCCATGGCAAGGATAGGAAATAATTGGGAAAACTCCAACGAAGCAACGAACTACTAAAACCATAAATAATTAATTAATTTAAATCATCATCGCACACACATACAATATGTAATACTTACGAGAGTACTAACCCTTGAACGACAACCCCCCCAATTCGATGAGACTTTATTTGTTTTTTTTTTTGGTAATTTTTGAAATTTTCTGGCATTGTGAAAAAAATTTCAAACAAATTACACGCAATTGAAACAAAACAAAACAACGATATGAAAACGCCCCACTAACTGATTGATTAATACATATATTCGATTGGACAAAAATGTGACGCTGAAAATGTTCCAGTTCCTGTTCGCATTTCCACACATTTTCCACCCCCCCCACATACGCGCTTTGGCATTGCACTCGAAATTCAAGTATTAAAAAATAAAATTATGCCAGCAATTTCCCAAAATGAAAACTAAAAACTAAACACTTAAAATAACAAATGATACTCATATATATTCTTCGATAGCATTTAGTGTACGTACGACAAGTGAAAGTGAATAAAAGTAAATACATCAAATATATTTCGATTATACTCATGCATAAACTGAATATATTGCACAATAATTGAGCTTGTCTTTGATCTGATTACAAATTTAGGGATCCTCTCTTTAGATGACCCGTTGGCCCATTAATTGCGCAGAAAATTTAAAATTTTTGATACTTTATATTTCGCAAAAATCTGGCCACACCTTTTAGTGATCAGGCGAATCTTCCCGATCGTTGGAAATCAGTTTGGCATTAAGGCCATCAAGAATTAATGATTAAATTTCGCATCCAATTCTTACGTGATGGGTGTCCTCGTAAGCGGAAAAGGACTCAAGGATATGCGTTTAAAACGCTTTTTGTAATAGATAGACCAGCCCGAAAGCATGTCATATTTTTTTACTAAAAGCCAAACCCATAAGTATGCCATTTGACTTGCCATTCTTTAATGCCGTTCTCTTCCGATATTCTAAAAAATTATCGGAATTGCTTACTATAAAAATATCGCTCATTAATATCTCAAAAATGTTCTCCTTAATATAGGTTACAAATTATATTTGGATGGGAAGAGTCCTTTGTGGTCAGTCGAAATCGCATTCTATTAATTGCTACGTGGACTTGGCATAATTTCGTCGAACCTAATATAAGTCTAGAGCCGCCGCCTTTACGATGAAGAACGCTGTGGCGCTATTGAATTATGGATTTGCATGTGGCCCTGACTGTGGCTCTGGCTGTGCTGGTGAGAAAATTCATATAGAAAAATATGAATAAATAAAATAGAACTAATATTCGAATTTACGAATGTATTCATAGGGATCATCACTCAATACCAACGCGGATTTTGTGGATTTTGTGGATCATGTTGTAATGAGTGTACCGGCTAACAATCATCTTGCTGGAACTGCAACTGTCCACTCGTGTCTGGATCGTCCGGCAGATGGACTCTCTGGACCTTGCTACAGCGGCGCCGTCTCATGTTATCAAAAGGTAAGCAATAAGTGAACCTGGAGCACTGCCACATAAAACATATATTAAAGATAGCCACATTGACATTGCTGCCAGCTCCGCCAGGGCCAATGATGCCATTACCTCCGTCCCAGCCCAAACCGCCTACACACACATCAAGCTCGAAGCGTGCTAACTGCGGAAAAAGCTTTTTAGCAGCTTTTCAGCCAAGTATTTTATTTCACATGCTATTTTTTATCACTAAAGTCACCCATACCTCGGACGTTCTGGCTGGCAAACATATGTACACAGTATATATAGTATATAGGGGGGAAAAACTACGCTGTGTACGTGTGTGTACTCACATTGATAATCCTATAATGTGAGCACCGGCGAACGTCAATGGTAGACAGCTCTCAGTTGTTGTCCAACCGTCGTCACGTCAAATAAGAATTGTCCACTCCACCCGCTCACCTGCCGTGAGTAGAACGATATATAAATATAAAATGAACTGACAAAACCCAGTCGAGTGCCAACTGCATTCGCTATCAACGAGGGCATCGATAAGGGGAAAAAAAAACCAGTTCTGTTAATAACACCTACCTATGTATATCCTACAAAATGCCACATAATTATGCATTCGGCAGTGTCTTGCTAAACACAAAATTCAAGTGCGAAACGGTTCTAGCCCCCGGGTGTTATGACACACGAATGAGTCATCCATCTGATAAGACGATGGGGCCCACAGCTAGTTGGCTTTCCTATCTAATTGCTGATTGATTATAATCAAATACAAATGCCAAATTGTTAAATTTATTTGTTCTTTTATTGGACTGCAACTGTGATAAGACGTGTCTGGATTTGTGAAATTAAAGAAGACATGTGTTACATTTGTATTTGTTTTTTCAAAAAGGGTCAAAGTACACAATCTCAATCGATCCAAAGAGTCTTAGTGTTTGCTCGTTTCTATCATTCGGTGTTTGTAAAACAGTTTTGACACACTTTCAATGTCTGGTTATGTCTGTCAAATGATGCACAAGCGGCAGACAGCAGGGCATAATTTCATCAATTAAATTGCATTAAATGTTCTTCAATCTCAATACAATGCACCGCCAAAAAAGGGGATAGTTGGATAACAACCAAGCTGCTAAAATAACATGATAAATAATGTAGATTCTCGGAAACAAATTTCTTGTAGTTCTTAAACTTCATTTATAATTGAAAGGCAGTCAATAAACAATTCTCATATTGATTTTTTGCCAATTATATCATAGAAAGGGGGCGGTAGTGGATCCATCTAATGAAATATAAATACCAGTGGCATTGATTGAAAAGCTCTTTGGTTTCCCCTTAAAAATGTAGCGTAACCCTCCCCCCCTGCAAAAGGTATCATATATATATTTTTGCGAATGAATGTATACCTTTAAATTCATCAATTTCAAAATATTTTTGTGCTTCTCTTTTGGTATAAAATAAATTGCTGAGTTCTTATCTTATCGCTTACCAAAATTTTCATTTATCTTGTCTGAAATGGCGGCCTCAGCGGCACCAACGCCAACAACTACTACACAGCCAGCCGCAGGGGCTTTGACCACATCTGGCTTCAGACAAAAGCATTTTACCATATCATTTACCGATAAGACTACGAAAAAAAAAAGTTTTTATATGTATTTGGTATGATTAGATGTACATATATATTGTACTGTGCCTTGCCATCGTTTCTTTGGTTCGCCTGCAGCGTATTTCATTAAACTTTTGAAATCAATTCGCTTCGGTTGTGTTGTGGCTAACTTTCTACGCGCCCAATCAGTTAGTTAGCCTCCCCTTTGTTCTCTAAGTAATGCTCGCTTTATTTTAATGATTATATATTTATTTTTTACAGAATCTAAAGCCAAAGGGTCACCATGTCGATTCTAACGGGCAGCGCCAATGCGGTCAAGTACACGCTCTTTGGATTTAATTTGATCTTTTTGGTAAGTTAACGAATTTTGTATGGGCTTGGATGAGTCATAGTATACCGCCAGCCATAGGTCGGTTCATGGGCGAAAAGTGAAAAGCGAAAAAAAAGAGATTAGATAGACAAAGTGATTCTCCCTCCCATGTACTTAACATACGAGGGAATCACATCCATTCCTGTGCGTGTTAAGCTATGAAACTATAGAAATACATATGAAATAGACGATATAAAAATATAAATACCCATGGGATATAAACAATATAGATGAACGTTTACGTTATCTGTATTATCGTACCAAAAATAGCTACAGATGATATCATTTTATGTTCTCAACTCCCCTGAACACTCTCCGCCATTTAAGGAATTGAAGCATTAAGCCCATCGATAAGAAAAACATGTCACAGCAATGGCATTCCCAAATATCTTATCTCGTACTGTCGTACAAAGACCAGTCAAAGTTAATATCTCCAATGACTTGTTATTCTTTTGCAGATCACGGGCATTATCCTTATAGCCGTTGGTGCCGGAGTCGGTGCCGTTTACACTGGCTATGAGCTCTTTTTGGCCGGCAAGTTCTTCTCGATCCCAACATTCCTGATTGTGATCGGTGCCTTCATCATTGTGATCACCTTCTTCGGCTGCTGGGGTGCCCTCAAGGAGAACTACTGCCTGGTGCTCAGCTTCTCGATCATGCTGGCCATCATCTTCATACTGGAGCTTTCCGCCGGCATCAGTGGCTATGTGCTGCGCACTGATGCCGCCTCATTGATAAAGACCTCGCTGACGGCTTCGCTGGGGGATTACAATACCCTAAATCAGAGCCCAACCACCGCCCTGTGGGACGATGTCCAGCGCGACTTCAACTGCTGCGGCGTGACCGACTTCAATGACTGGAGTAAGACCTTCCCGAACGGCTCGCTGCCGATCTCGTGCTGCACAATTCCTGTGGGCGCAGCCGGCACCTTCTCCTGCTTAAACAACTTCACGAGTGTGGATCAGCGTCACAACTCTGGTTGTCTTGACGGATTCTCCAGCTATATTGCATCGCATGCTGTCAGCCTGGGAGCCGCTGGCGTTGTCATTGCCGTCCTTCAGGTGAGTTGATCCCACTTCTCTTCCATCGGTCCTCTCCAACTAATCCTCCTTTCGCTCTTTGCGATCGATCGCCCACAGTTCTTCGGTGTTATCTTTGCCTGCTATGTGGCGCGTGAGATTAAAATCCGGAATGGCATTACGGGCTTCATCTAGAGCAACTCAACACTGAGAGATGCGGATAAAATGCCTGAGGAGCCGAGCCGTTGGCTGGGAATTTATATTTAAGTAAATACTTTGGACTTTTCCATCAGCTAAAGATATATATATATATGTGCATATATATATATTGCTTGTGTATACCATATGAATATTGGTAAATAAAAAAAATTAGCTCTTACAAACATTCGAATGGCTTTAGGCTGATAGGCTTTGCGCCTATCAGAGTCTGTGGTTTTATATTGAGCAGATTCTTGGAATCCAATCTAATCGAATGTGCCATAAAGGTATATCGATTTAGAAACGCAGTCTAATACACTTGTAATTCGTTCAGACGTGTACAATATGGGCGAAAAAGAGGCCACTTATTTTTTGAAATTGTTTCCTTTTTTCTGGATTTGTGTAGCCAGCAGAATATCAGAAACATTTCAAATAAAGTAACGGGCATAAAGGTAGAGCCGCGGCCCTTGCCGCCGCTCACAACATTCCAGTTTGTTTTTAATTGTAATGCGGTATAATAATTGCAAGTATTCTAATCTATTCTTCTCTATTCTCTCCCCCTACCATATTATGGCAATACATTGGTTTTAATTTTAGGCAAACAGTGCAAACGTATCAGCCTAAAGCCATTCGAATGTTAGCATTACTATGGAGGTATCTGAGAAGCCCCAACTATTTTTTATTCGCTATTTTAAACCCATCCGAGCCAGCGCGCACCTGTGATTGCCTATGAATAATTTACACCTATTTGGAAATGCAGTATGATTAAAAAATCGATAAAACATAGTGGTTGACTCATTTAAAAATGAAAATCAGATCGATAAAATACTCGATGGATGGCCTTGGCGCCGTGAACTTGAGCAGTAATACTGCCGGTAATTGGAGAACCGCCGTCATAGACATAGACAGAGGAAGCCATCTGGTTAGTTGGTTAGTTGGGATTGGAAGACATTCTAGTGCAGGTTTTTATGCTTTTTATAATATTGCGAAATGTGTATGCGAGTACTCGTAGCAAAAACAAAAGAACCATTATCTTATCGCTAATGTTTATCTAACTGGAAAACTGTGAACAATTATGGCCCTGATAAGCACCGCTTGGAAAGCTGCCCAACGAGACTCACAGAGCACTCTCACCGAGCGAGCGAGAACGAGGGAGAGAGAGAGAGAGAGAGCGCGAGAGAGAGACAGAGACAAGGCCAGAGACGTTTCACAAAGTGTGGGAGAGCGAGAACGACCCCCAATCGAAATTGGACTCTCGCCGACGACTCCGTCGATTCCGTTTTACCGTTTTGCCCACTTAGGGGCCCCCGCTCAGTTCACGTGCGACTAGCAAAAGTTAAAGTACGTTCCACCGCTCGTGTCGCGGTGACACAAAATCAAGCAGCACAAAAATACTTATACTATACAATACGCTATATATATCGGGTACAGCCCGTAATTAACATTTGTATTGTAAATTGCAGTTGAGCGACCGAGAGACGGGAAGTGTGTGCCTCCTATACAATAACAGACGAAGAAAAAAACAAACACCTGAGGCAACAGCAGCTAACAGCATGGCAAATCGGGATCTACAGCTGAATTCTGGCATGCGATGCGCCAAATATATGCTCATCATAGTGAGCTTTATGTTTGCGGTAAGTCCTGCGGATCGGATCGGATAGGATCGGATATTCGTACTTACCTTACCATTAATTAATCGCATCCTCCATGAATCACAAAGTCGCCATTTTGATTCGATTTCATTATCATTCGCTATCAGTATCACTTACCTGCTTATCAGCTTTCGGTTTTTCCCCTGTGTGGGTGTAATACCTTGTTTCTTGTTTTGTGATTCATTATATGCCTACGTAAGTCGCCGATAGTAGGAGAATAGTGAGCGCAAAGACTAGAGCTCTGCAAATGCCACAAAGAGCGAATTCAGTGCACCGAGAGAGAGAGATAGAGGGGAAACGGGTCAAGTACAAAAGCGAAATTCTCCTCTTTTCGGCTTTTCTTGCCTTCTGTTTGTATTTTAAAACAAATATCGCCCAGACGAGATCAACAACAAAAACCACTTTAGGCAATATTAGTAGACATTCTTACTGCTGATAAGGCACAGTGGAGTGGCTCCAATATTTAGGAGAATTTTCAGATATTTAATATTGCAGCAATATGATTACCCAATATGATTACGATTGCAATTATTGAACTTTTCTTGCATCAAGGCATTCCATACAAATTAAATTCAGTAAAGCTCATGCGACGTTTCTTATAGCTTGACATTTAATGTAAATTCCACTGACACTTGAGTAATGGTGGGAGAGAAATCTACATTGCAAGAGATAAGCCAGAATATGGTTTACATATAATATGTATGTAGATAAGGCGTAGCTAGATAATCAAAAGCACTGGTGCAAAACTAACCAAACACCTAACTAAATATATAAATATGAATTTCTGAAATGTATATTAATTTACATAAATACTTGAAAGGTGGCAGAGCTACTTTATCATTTTATTAGATATGTTTGCGCACAGGCCCCAACCTATTTACATTATAAACAACCGCAGCAGATGATATTTTCCCGACCAAGACAGCCATTTACTTTAGAGTGAGAGATCTAAATATCTACACTAAGAGAAACGTAAGAGCAGGCTTTTGAGATTACTATCTTTCTCTCTCTTTTGGGCAACAATCTTGTGCCCTTACATTTGCCTTGCTGAATTTGCTGCAAGAAAAAAACAAAGGCAAGTCAGATAACCAAATGCAGAAAACCTTCTCATTTCTCTGTCTTACCTTTTGGCCCATAGTCTGGCGGCAGATCTCCGATTTAAATATTATAATATGTTCTTTATTTCTGCTGCTGCTTGTTGTTGCCGGCCGATTTATTAAGAGTCCTTTTGATGTCCAAAGGTTTTTACTTCCGAGCTAATTTTATATGCAGCGATTGACGCTCCATTTCCGGTAGATCTTTGAGGCTCTAAGGTGGCGGTACGGCTGCCTCCAGTGTGATTGATGGTTTAAATATAATTTCTTTCTTATATTTGATGTCTTACCATCTGGGACAGAGTGGAGATGCCTCCCATTCTTCTCTCCGGCAGTGGAAATCCCTTTGGTGCTGTATGTTCTAGTGCCAGATTCTCGCGAGTGGCTGAGCTCAAGATCGTCTTGGGTCCCGAATGTTGGAGCTCTGCAGGTGCCTCCAAACTCGCCCTTGACTTAGACGCCCTCCTTGGCACCTTCTTTTGAGGGAACTGAACGATTGAATTCGTGAACATATTTACCTTTAACTCACCTTCTTCTTGGAGGAAGCGTTTGCCTTGGCCTCTTTGGCCGGTGCCTTCTTCATCTTGTCCAGCTTGCGACCCGCAGAGACCTTCATATTGCTGAGTATTTCGCGGAGTATACGGGTGCGATTTTTGTTCTTGAGCTTGGGCAGGTCCTCGAAGATGGTCATCTGCTTGCCGTTGAGCTCGAGGGGATGCTGCACACCATCGGAGCCTCTGTTGATGGTGTAGTTGACCTCAAAGGCTCGCTCGAACAGGCCGGTGGGTGCCAAGGGATTCTTGGCCAGATCCACCACCACGCGTATGCAGTCCTTGATGGCAACGGGACAAATCTTGGCTGTGACCTCCGTGGAGGGTGACATATCCGGCGTGGCGTTGATCTCAATCAAGATGGGATTGTAGTGCTCGTCCAGCATGAAGTCGCAGCCATACAGCTCGAAGGCGTTCTTCACCAGTTCGGTCTCATCCAGGCTGGCCATCACCACGGCCACCAGATTCTGTTTGAAGCCATTGTAGATGTTCGACCACGTGTCATCCGGAGCACACACTGCCCGCAGATGGGTCTTGAACTGGTCCAGCGACCACATGTTGCTCCTGGGCAGGCGGGGATCGCGACTCAGCTTGTTCTTGTAGCGCTTCTGCACCGAATTGTTGGTCAGATGGATCGACTCCCGCAGATCGTCCATGGTGAACTCCTGCGAGCTGAAGCGCAGATAGCAATCGCGATATGTCCACACGGTTACCTTTGACTCCCCAATTGTCAGCAGCATATACTGGCGTATGTCGAACTTTGTGCGATACACCAGATAGGGACGTTCTACAAAGGAAGAGGGTAGAGGAAAGAAATGAGGGTCCCCCATTGACTGCCTGCCACTCACCTATGTACTTCTGGACAATGTACTTCTTGATCTGATTGCTCGATGTCCATTGGAGAATCTCATCCAGGCAGCTGCGTATGACGATGCCAATGCCACGCGACTGATAGCCCGGCTTGAGGATCCACAGGTTGCGGCTGCCATCCCAGCGATAGTCGGGACGCAGGCTCTCGATCTGGTCGATATATTGGGTCGCCAGGCGGACGTACTCCTTCATGACCGTCTCGTTCACCCGGAACTTGGCCTGCGACTTTAGCACCTCCGCGGACTGCACCATGAACGTTTGGATCTCCACGACTTCGGTGGGTGTGGGCGGCTTGGCCCGCGCATCGTCGAGGGAGCAGTGCTGCGCCTGTCTGACCATTTGCTTGACCTTGGTCAGGGCAAAGTCCAGGTGGCTGCTCATGATGGTGCCGTTGTCCGTGTCTATCAGCTCCTGGGGCTTATGTTCCATGATGTATCGCAGCACGGAGCGCGCCTGCGTCTGCTGGTAGTCCTCGATGAAGGCCATGCGCTCCTCCACACTCTTGCTGCCCAGGCGATAGAAGCGCGGATAGCTCATGCCGCAGACGCCGTCCTCGCGATACCAGCCCTCCTGCTCGGCGCACCCGACCAGCCCCACCTTGGTGGAGAAGTCCAGGAAATGGCTGCGCCTCACCCGGTTGCGGAATGGCCGCACCTCGGCGAACAGATCGCGCTGACCCTTGCCCTGCCAAATGAAGAACGAGGGAAAATTGCTGACCATCTTCGATAGGACCACCGTCTCGTAGTCGTTGCCCCGTCGCGCATGCTCCAGCAGCGAATCCTCGGACATGCTCTGCAGATTGGTGTACCGCGAAGCCGGCAGCTTCTCCAGCCAACCTCGCCTCAACAGGGCCCGTCGCACTGTATGATAGTTGCCGTGCACCGTGAAGATTCTCCGGTTGCGATAGGCATCCATCACCCGCGTCCGGTACACGTTCCTCAGCTGACGCCTCTGTGCATCGGGCGCCAGAGGCAAGCGTGCTGGTGGTATGACGGAGCCATAGGTCGATGTGGAGCGTGTCCGGGCCAGCAATTTACTGATGCTATCCTGGTAATATTGGTCGCTTATCTTGTGCTTGGCATGGGCCCTTGATCCAAGTGCTCCAGCGGCAACGGTGGCCCCGTGGCCCCGTCTGTGGTGGCTGCTGTCGTTATTGTTGCTGCTGCCTGGCGGCTTTGGCCCCGAACACAGACTGCACAGCTGCCCCAGCTCAGAGTCCAGGTTGTGGATGATCGACTGAATCTTCGAGACGGGATTGTAGTACCGGCTGCGGTGATTCGTCGGCAACGGCAGGCTGGTCGCGCTGCGTTGTGTAGGTGGGTGTCCTTTGGTGGCCATGGCAGGCTCGAGCGTGGCTGCTGCTGCTGTGATGCTATGTACTGGGGTTGCTGGTGGTGTCTTGGATCCCTTAATCCCGTAGCCTGTTTTTGTGCTCGTTGCCAAAGCAGCTGGTCCGCCGGCAGCCAATTAACGAGGAATTTTGAAGCTGAAGCCCAAACAGTTTCGAACACAAACGAAAACTGTATTGACTTAAAAAACATTAGGAGATCGGATGTTTGAGCGAGTGGGGCCCATCTCGCTAGAGGGGAGTGGCAGAGAGTTAAAGTGCTATGCACGTGTACCCTGGCCTGTGATGGGAAAGGGGAGCAGAAATCGAGCAGAAACAATGCACTGCTTGAACAATTTGCAGACATTTTTCATTCACAAGCACTGCTTCACCGCAGTACACTGCTTACTTGAAAGCATGGAATGGAAGAGCAGTCCTCCGCTCACTCAGCAGCAGCCGGTCGAAGCGAGCGAGGTCAGAGCCTGAAAATAGCGAAAAATCAAACGGGCAAAATGTCGCGCAGGTGTGTGTAGTGAAGTGTAGTCTAGTGTTGTCCAAAACTTGCTTGTTTATGAAACAAAAAACAGTGCGAACAAGGGCGGGGGCAAAATGGTAACAAATAAAAAGGATGAACGAAGAAAAAATTCAGAAAGAAGTGCAAATGAGTTGCAACAAGTGTATTATTATGTATGTATGTATATGTAAGTTATACATATGTACGTGCCCAATACGTACATGATAGCATGTAAATGATAAGATAACTCGTAAAACATGCGAATATAAAAGGCATTAAAACGACTTACAAGAGTGCGGGCTTATTTGTTCGAAACAACGATCTATTTGCACAGTGAAACAGTTGAGCGGACGCTTTAAAGTATGAGGAAGTGGAACTCCATAATTCCAAACAGCTGTCGTAGGGCTATTACACAATGTTATGACAGTCCCCAGTCCGCACCCCGCACCCCACCCGCACCACATTTCCAGCACTCACAAAGTCATAAATTGAGATTTAACATGCAATGCCTGACGCCGCTTTCCACTCCAGCTGACGGCCATCCTGCTGATTATGGTGGGAACTACGATCCAAGCGATCTTCGGTGATTTTAGCATTTTCATCGATGGACACTTTGCATCGCCGCCAGCGCTGCTGATTGCCATTGGATTCATACTGATTGCCGTGGCCACTTTGGGCGCCTACGGCGCTGTCAAGGAGAGTGTGATGGTCATTAACCTGGTGAGTGGCGGGGGATCAATGATTCAGGCTATTACCTAATCCTGTGCCTATTTTCAGTACGGTGTCTGCCTGTTCTTGGTGTTCATACTGGAGGTGTCCGCGGCCATTGCTGCCTTCGTGATGCAGTCCCAGGTGAGGGACATGCTGATGCGGACCATGTTCCAGGCGATGCAAGACTACGAATCCGATCCCTATGTCGAGTCTGGCGTGGACTTTATGCAGTCCGGGGTGAGTGCAATCTCTGGCAGAGCTCAAAATCAATCACTAATCGCTGATCCCCAATCCCCAACCAGCTGGAATGCTGCGGCGTGAACAAGCCCGAGGACTGGAAGGACTACTTCAGCCCCAACAAGAACGAGACGCTGGACAGTGACGATGTGGTGGTGCCGAATTCGTGCTGCGGCAGCCTGGCCCAGGACATGAACGATGCCAGCCAAGTGAACTGCCTGGACACCTTCGACTACGGCTGCTTCCGCAAGATGAACTTTATCATTTCGCAGAGCGCCATGCTGATCGCCACCGGTGCCACCACAGTGGCCTTTGTCCAGCTGCTGGGCGTGCTCTGCGCCTTCATGCTGGCCAAGACGCTGCGACGCAACAAGTCGATACGCGAGGCCCGGCGCTGGCAGCTCCAGCAGAGTCTGGGCGTCCTCATCTCCGGCGGAAAGATGGCGCCACCACAGAACTCGGCGGCCGCCGGCTACCAGCAGTTGGGCAACGGCGAGCAGGGCAGCCACGAGCCCTACACCTACACACCGCAGAGTCCCAGCGTAAACTAGGAGCCACCCAGCGATCAAAACAGTACGAGTATATCACCCAACTCTAATCTAATCTAATCTAATCAAACCAATTAATTATCCCCCGCTTCACGTGCCCAATGTAAATCTTTTTGTTTATTTGTTAACCAAAAACCAAAGCCAAACGCAACGACAGCTTGCAAATAAAGCGCCTGTGTTCTAGGACTGTTTTCGCAAGTCCTTGACGAAGTTCTTCAGGAGGCGCAGCTGCTCCTGAATGCTGGCCGTGGCCGTGCCCCCAATCACATCGTACTGCTGCACATTGTGGGCGTAATCGGCCACGCTGGCAATGTCCGATCCGAAGGCGGGACAGATCTGCTGCAGTTCGCCCAGCGGCACCTCGGTGATGCCCACACCGCGTTGCTCTGCCAGCGAGACGACGCGTCCAATGAAATGATGGGCCTGCCGGAAGGGTATGCCCTTCCTGACCAAATAGTAGGCCTGAAATTAACCGGATAACACATACGTAGCAGCATTAACAGTGCAACAGCCCCATGGCCGACGCTTCTACTCACCCAATCTGTGGCTAGCATATCCGGACTGAGTGCCGCCTCCATGGTTTCCCGCTGCACCAGCATCGTCCGGATAACACCCTCAGCTATATCGAGCACCTGGGCCAGCTTATCGAACGACTGAAAGCAGTATTCCTTATCGAACTGCAGGTCCTTGTTGTAGGTGGACGGTGTGCCCTTGATGGTCATCAGAATGCCAGTCAGATTGGAGCTGATCACGCCGGAGATGCCACGCAACAGCTCCAAGCTATCCGGATTGCGTTTCTGTGGCATCAGACTGCTCCCGCTGGAGAGGCTGTCATGCAGTCGAATGAAATCGAACTCCTTGGTGCTGTAGATGATCAGATCCTCGGCCAAGCGGGACAGGTGAATGCTGACCAGGGAACAGCAGTAGATGAAGTCCACTAAAAAAAGTTGAAAGTGAAACGAACATTAAAGCTGAGCTCCTGGTCACACAGGAGACAGACTGGACGAGATCTCTCATCTCCGTGTTTGTGAGGCCCCGTAGAAATCAGCCGATTTTTCTCGCTCCCTTTCAGTACGGGCCACAGCAACGTCTTATCATTATTCCCTGCTTGTTAATCGACTGATTCTTGGACGTTTGCTGATAAGAGGCCAATCCAATTCCAAACTATTCAAGTGCAACGACTTTGAAATGACTTACACGCATGTTTGGGTACAGTCTGAGGAGGTGTTGGACTCACCTACGAAGTCGCGATCTCCGACAGCATGCATACTGTTGGCCGTGACGCCAGAGAAGCCCAAGCGTTCGGCCAGCCACAGACGATCGATGCCGAGCGGATTGCCGGCCAGTGCTCCACTGCCCAGAGGCAGGACATTTGCCCGAGCACGCAGCTCCGCGAAACGGAGACCGTCCTCGCGCAGAGCGAAGGCATGGGACAGAAGCCAGTGGGAGAACTGAACCGGCTGGGCGCGCTGCATGTGCGTATAGCCGGGCATGAGGACGCCGAGATGCGCCTCAGCTTGTTTGATGGCTGCCTCTATGACGCGATTCAGGCGACCGAGTGTCTCTCGAATGCCCCTTCGCAGCCAAAGCTTCATGTCGGTGACCACCTGGTCGTTGCGGCTGCGGCCGGTATGCAGTCGCTGGCCCAGCTCGCCGGTTATCTGCACCAGCAGTCGCTCGTTGACCGTGTGCACATCCTCGTCGCTGGGCAGGAACTTGATGGTGCGCTCGATCCAATCGTACCGAATCAGCTCCAGACTCTTCACCAGCTTGTCCGCCTCGGCGGTGTTCAAGTATCCTGCACGCTGCAGGGCCTCTGCATAAGCTTTGCTGGCATCCAGATCGTCCGCATAGAGACGGGAGTCGTACGGCAGACTGATATTCAGAGCCTGCAGAGCCGCACTTGGCTTCTCGCTGAAGCGTCCGCCCCACAATTGGTAGTTGGAGTGCTGCTGGGATGTTGTCATGATTCCTGATCCGTCTGGCGTCAATGATGGAAGACTACTGAACGCAGTCCGGCAACAAACGAGCTTCACAAATACAATATTTTTCAGCCGCTTATCTTTAAAATTAGTACATGTTGTTCTATGAACTGTAAGTGATTAGAAAAAGCTAAAGCGCGGCGTTTCTCTCACGTTCTACAGTGGTTTCAGCCAGCACTTTCTTGGTACAATTTAATTGTATTAATTTGATTTGAATTGAGTCGACTTTCGGGGCAATCTACAACCAGTGTGCCGCTGCTCTCTTTCTATTTGACTTTTTCGCACACTGCTATTGTTTTTTATATTTTAATTGACTTGGGCGTTGGGCGTAGAGATATAGCCTCTTATCAGAGTTCAGATTAAAATGAACGAAACGCTTTTGTAGCCTCTGACGTGTGTTGGCGCATGAGCCCGAAGACAGTTTTGCGCGGCTATGACGAGAGATCCTCCAGAAATAGCTTGTTTAGTTCACAGCAGAGACGATGCAGCGGCAGGCCCATCACACAGTAAAAGTCGCCATCGATGCGATGTATCAGAGCGCCACCAGGTCCCTGTACGCCATAAGCGCCAGCTTTGTCGCTAAATGGAACGAGATTTTAGTAATTTTATAACTTTAAAAAGTTCATTCACGACTTACAGTGGATCCCCCGAGTCCACATAGCTCTGAATCTGCTCTGGCAGCAGCTGGCCGAAATGTACGTCCGCCGTGTCCGTAAATTTGCGCACTCCTTGGGCGTGTTTGAGCACAACGCCGCTAAACACTCGATTGCAGGCTCCAGACAGGCTGCAGGCAAAAGAAACCACACCACACATCAATTGCAGTTTGAAGAGACGTCTCTACTGGCATTCAACGTACTTGGTTAGCATGCGCACGGCATCCGCGGGGTTCTTTGGCTTGCCGTAAATCTCTTTGCCCAGCGTCACCATTGTGTCGGCTGCTATTACAATGAGATTTTTATTGTCCCCTTTGGCGCTGAGACGCGTGAAGACCTCCTCCGCTTTGCCGAGGGCTGTGGCCTCTATATAATCGGAGAATTCCTTGTAGTCTTCCAGATTCAGGTTCTCCTCGAATGTGGATGGGCAAAGCTCGGCATTAAGGCCCTACAATACAATTTTTCGGTTACAGTTTTCATTTTACTGTCTTTTCTAGCTAGGCTCACCAGCATTTTGACCAATTCTTGGCGACGAGGCGAACCACTTGCCAGGACAACACGATAGTTGCTTAATAAATGCTTAATTGGCGCCAACATTGAAAGTTAATTACAGAATTTACAGAACAAAATAAAAAACATGTGCTGCAGCAGTTTCGTGGCAGCGAGATTTTGTCAGAGAGCGAATGGTTTTCAAACAGCTGACATGGTACCAGTCTCATTGCAACAACCTTTTGTCAGAGAACGAAAATGCTCTTTTATCATTTTTCCGACGCGGCCACACTGATCTGAAACAGCTGGCTCCCGCCAACCGCCCACCCACACCGCGTACACGAAAAAATTAAAATTTACAAGACTTTGTTGTGCAATTGCTGCTAATTAAACAATGCAACTTTGTCGTTGCTCGGCGGACATCGGCTGTCGTTGTTAATGGTGCTAGTGCTGGCAGGCATTTTTCAGATCCACGGGCGTGAAGAACGGTCAATCGGAAGCCGCACAGTGAATAAAACTACGAGCAGAGCATTATATATTAAAGGAATCAAAAGTGCATAGAAACAGGCCGCAGAATGCACCCAGAGCTGTTGCATAAATTTCGTTAGTAATTCTAACTATTTGTCGGTGCTTGTTCACTTGTGTGGGTGTCGCTCTCGATGTCTGTATATTAGTTTAGTGTTATTTATATTCCTAATTACAAACGTCGCCGTTCTCGCGTTGTGTTGTCGCATTAAAAACTTTAGTCTGTCGTTGGCGGGCGCCGCTCTTAGTCGCTTACATCCAAACGGGCCAGAGGCAGAGAGAAAGGGGGAAAATAGAAACGTGCCGCTGCTTACGTGCCACAAGACACAGCCAGAGTACAAAGCAACCCAACCAAAACCCCCCGCCATCACCTTGCCTTGAAGTGTCGCCTGTCGGTATCGCGCTTCCTATTTATTTGCCCCTCAAAACGGAACGGAACTTCTTTCCGAGTGGTGTCAAGGTAGCCAGAACAGTTCATCCTCCACATATGTACATATATACATGCACACAAGTAGTATGTACATGGACTATAAAAATAGTACTACACATAATATATACACATGGGGTCAATATAATAGGTACGCCACCACCAGAGAGGACTGCGTGAAAAGAATAGCGAGCGTTCATAGTATAGATGGTTCTGAAATACACACAACATAATACTCAGGCAACATAATAGCACCTTTTCATAGGGGATTATACCTACAGAATAGCGACGACCCTTAACCTTCTCGGAAGTGTGGAGTGGTAGTGTTTCGAGGGAGGATATCGACATTTTTCCCAAGAACCAATCGTTCATAAATAGGCGAATTTCTTTTTCAGTCAACTACAGACGGAGCTAGTGCGAGTACCTATTATCTTGATCATAAGTGTAGACATTTTCTAAACATACATACATACGTTTTATGTTTATAAGGCTGTCTGGGAAGTGGGGCGGCAGCTGTATAAAGCTGATAAAGAAGTATTTATTGTTTGTTTTTTGTCATTAATTGCACTTTGAACGTTTCATTAATATATTAGCAACGAATTCGGTATTTCGCGAATGTGTGTGTGTGTTTTGGCAATGAATATTCGATTGTAAAATTGCGTAAATTTCGTTTGGTTTTTAAAGAATAGCATTCGCTTCAGTGCTGTAAAAACAGTCGCCAGGTTTGGGTCTAGAGCTTTCAAAACTGTAGTGCATTGCATTCAGCTGTTAATGACTTTGTAACTGTATTGCATTTACATGGTGGCTGGAAAAGTTCCATTTATTACATATAATAAAGGAATTCGAGTCATTTATTTATTTAAAGTAGCATACTAATTGATTTTAATTAGTGCTAATGAGAACCAAATTGACAAACGAAAACCAAAACAAAAAAGCGCTTGCCCAGCACTCCTCAAACTGTATGAGTTCATGCTAATGGATTTGTTTTCTCTCTCTCTCTCTCACCCATAGGCTCAACCAACGGCATACACACATCACGTGTCTGACGCTCGGCCCCCAGTTTTGTAGCCAACGATCACCTGGTGCTATTTCTCTCCGAAAAAATCCGTCTCTGGTGCTGTTTCTCTCCGAAAAATGTTCTCACTGCAGCAAATAATCAAAGCAGCGACCGCAAATAGCGGCAACTGCTGCGTGGGTGGCAGCGATCTCTACAGGCTGCTCAGGCATCTCAGCAGTCTGACGTCAGCGGCAGCAACTACAGCCATAGCCACAACCACAACCACAACTACAACTACAGCAATGCCAAAGCAATCTAGTCAAGCGACAGCATTGTCGAGCGACCAAAACTTCAGCGACAACGCCATTCGCTCGCCCCATTCGAAGCCCAACGGTTGCTGTTACGGAGAGTCAGATTCGGAGTCGGCGCACAGCGTGAACGTGTACGTGAACGGAAACTTGTCAACGCAATTCGCCCGAAAGGTGCTGCAGCAGCGCAGACAGGACATCCAGCGCCTCATACATACCCAGCCCCCCAGTGGACACGGAGCCAAATCCTCGCAGCAACAGAATCAACAGCAGACGACCACAAAGTTCGCCATGTCCTCGCTAGCAGCGGAGCCCCTGCCCCAGGCTCACAAATCGGATGAAATCACAGCAGTCGCCAGCACCAGCAGTGATGTGGCAGCAGCGGACGCCAACATGCCGAGCACCAGCGCCTCCTGCCACGAGGCTGCCTCCAGCACGGGCAAGAAACCCTGCTTCAGCACTGGCCTCGCCGAGATTCTGCAGTTCATGGAGCTCATCGGAAATCTAAAGGTACATAGTATACTAAAGAAAGAAACCCGTTTCGTTTCCTCTTTTGTGCTGTGCTGTGCTTTGCTTGTGTACTGTCGCGTCATATGTGCGCATCGATTTTTCCCGCCGCCACCCTTAGCGCGGGAAGTGCTTGGCACCCGGGCGCTGCTTTGATTTGACCGATTTCCGATTCAGTCAGCAATTTGTACGCTATACTCGATCGAAGCCTCCCCGACATCGCGTGACAATCATATTAGTTTTGTTTTTTAAATGACGGACACGTCTCGTCACTTAATGTCTTGAATGGCCGTGAAATCTCAGCCTTATATGAAGGAGATTATATTTTGTGAGGGGCATCAACCTTGAGACTGGAGTATAATAAGGCTTTGGTTAACACAATTTTGCCAAGAGATTAGAGCGAGCTCTGGGTATATAGCGTCGTATAACAAATCATATATGATTGGCAATATTTGCTTAACGCATTGCATCCTATATGATTCAGATAGGAATTATTTGATTGAGTCATATAGAGGGGATAGAGATTCTATCAACAATATCTGGGCATTAGGGCATTGTATGGGAGATATTCTATCAAAATATTTACTCAAAATCCCCCAATTTCATTCGCAAACAGAGAGCCAAACAGAAAATAAACAAAAACGAAAGCGAACCGAGTGCTAAAAGTATATTTATTTATTTTTTGTATAATCTATTCTATTCTATCGACGCTCTTTTCATTCTTTTGTTCGTTCTTTTTGTAAGAATATTGTATAATATGTGGGACAACCTCGCTCTCGTGTCCCTCTCGGAATGAATTTGTATAGTCGGTTGCCAAAAAAAATACATACATACATATATACAATATATCTTGTGTATTGTGTATTTGAACAATGCTCTCGCTATACATTGTAGTCTGTGCTTGAAATTAGCTGAGTAATTTTGTAATATTTTACACAACTAAGCCAGATGCAGTTAAATGAGCAAAGTCTACCTATAAACTATAAACAAATACCTAAGCAGAGACAAAGAACAGCTGTTTTAAATCAACAAAAACCCAAGCAAACAGAGCAAAAGTCAAGAGAGCTAGCTGCTAGAGCGTTCCATACCCACTATCACTTTCCCCGAACCGAACCGAACCCTCTGCTAGAGATAGCTTAACTTGTATCTAATCAGAGCTCATTCGAAACTTTCAACAAAATTATGAAGACAACAACGACAGCACGGGACTCATTTTCTTATCGACAAGAAGGCCCCCAAAAAGCGAATCGATTGCAGTTTGAGCAGGCTGCCCCGCCGTCCATCGGTGGAAATGCCACTCAATGCCGAAATGGTTTCTGAACCCGAGAAAGCAAAGTTCCAAAACATTGGCTCGCTCACGTGAGGCCCCATGAAATTCGTATTTATTTTGCTGAAATATCTAGAATAATCTTGAATTTCAGTGAGCAATACAATAAATTCTCAGTCGTCAGCATTGACGTACGTCGGACAACAGAATTTGACAAAGGCATAACGAAATATTCCCACTGGCAATTTTCTAAATTTTCTTTATAGTACATAAAGCGCATATAGAGCGCAACAAATAAGAAAGGCAAATCCGCTCGTGACTTTGATCTTGGCCTTCAAAATATAGACGCTATATGGGAGAATTTTGTGGTGTGTATCTCTACATAGAGGGGTTGATCGACGATGTTCTGTTTTCAAAACAAAATTGAAATGAATACTGCTATCTGTGATGGCAGGGTGAAATGGAGCCATTAGCTGAAATGAGAATACAACCAATTTGTTGTGTCTGTTGATGAACTACAAGAGAGACTGAACGATATCTGGTTCCATCTGGTTCCCTAATTCAATGACCCATCCTTGTCCAGGAATACTTTCATTACTGGATACTCGAGAGATAAAGTCAATATTAATTGCATTTTTTGAGTCAATCAACTTCATTTATTCAACTGAATCCCATACATCCTACAAATCATTGTTATTAGTAGTATTCTTATCTATATATATATATATGTATATGTATATGTATAGTTGCTATATCCATTTATTTTGTGCATCATTATGCATGTTGATTCAACCTCAGAGCTCATTCGGATTGGCGTTGGGGAGCGTGTGCTGGGGTCTCTGATAACGCCAACAATTGCACTTCATTACGTGGCTACAGCTCGGAATTGGCCAGAGATAATCAGCCTAGCCCGATAAGTCACGGACTGTGAGCTATATAGTCTGGTCATATAAGAGTTTGGGTGAAACAGGAAACCCAATTTCTACCTTTGGCAAGAGACAGGCAGCTGCTTCGGCAAATGGGCATGCAACTAGGTCTCTGGGCCCGACCGCATACCGCAGCGACTGTTGCTATAAATAAAACTGTTATTGATCAAATAGCAACAGTCTACAAAGCGTGTAAGCGCCCTCGATGGCAGGTTTAAGTTGAAGGCCTCAGCACGCTTGTGGCAGGGGCCTCAGCGTCAGCGAGGCATCAGCCTTGATGTGTGCAACGATGTCACCAGCGTCGCGCGCCATCGAATGTTTTTAATTAGGCAGAGTGCTTAGTGGGGGAGGCATGGAATCATCCATGGAAAGATGCCACAGTTCCAGCGACAATACGTATTACATTTCCACTAACCCAGTCTGCCTGTCTGTCTCTCTATCCAACAGCACACCAAACGCACTGGATGGGTGCTGCGTGATGTCAACGACTGCGAATCGATTTCGGGTCACATGTATCGGATGAGCATGCTCACCTTTCTGCTGGATGGCAGCGAGGGACTCAACCAGATACGATGCATGGAACTGGCGCTGGTGCACGACCTGGCCGAGAGTCTAGTGGGCGATATAACCCCATTCTGTGGCGTGTCCAAGGAGGAAAAGCGGGCCATGGAGTTCAAGGCAATGGAGGATATATGCAAGCTGATCGAACCCCGCGGCAAGCGCATAATGGAACTCTTCGAGGTGAGACATCCATCAGACAACTCTTTGATCTCGCAGTATACTAATTTTTCCATCCATCATTAGGAATACGAGCATGCAGAGAGCGCTGAGAGCAGATTCGTCAAGGATCTGGATCGCCTGGACATGGTGATGCAGGCGTTTGAGTACGAGAAGCGCGACAATTGCCTGCTGAAGCATCAGGAGTTCTTCGACTCGACGGAGGGAAAGTTCAATCATCCGTTTGTGAAGAAGCTGGTGAACGAGATCTACGAGCAGAGGGATGTACTGGCCAAGGCCAAGGGCGCCACGCCGCCGCCGGCCATTGAAGTGCCCAAAATGGAGTTGCCGCCCCCCAAGCTGGGGGTCAACGGTCACGACAGCTCAAGCTGAGCATAGCATTAATTCTAAGCAAGACCAGTCTTAGGCTAGCGCATTAACACATCCTCACATAAACACACACAAAACGCTCTTAATTTGTAAGCCAAAACAAACCACCCAACCTTGACCTCGACACGCTCTAACAATTATCACACGTAATTTATTGCCACAAAACAAAAAAGGAAAGAAAAAAAAGAAAGGATAGCAAGGGACTAACTAGACGACCATCATTCATTTATAGACAGACACTTGTTGACAATTAATGAATTCTCCTTTAGTTAAGCGCAAAGTTTGCAATTCGAGTCTTAGCTAAATATTCAATTGATCTTTGATTAAGGTACCAAAACCCAATTGTACATAACTAAAGCGAATTGTAGTTAATTTTAAATGTATGAATGACGACCTAGAACAATTTTATTTAGCCCGCAAATCAAAACTTAATTAATACGCGTACGCGTACGCGTATGTGTATGTGTATGCACCCGAAAAGAGCATAATCAAAATATTTGATTTTATAGCACAGTTCCATTAGCGGCACATTTACATTCGCAACAGCTAATTTCAGCTTTCCAGCAATACCTTATTCCTCCTAAATATCGTGCTACAACCACCGTTTGTATTTGTTTTCTATAGTATAGGGAATTTCCTATCTACATTCATCTGAAGCCGAAACATTCAAAGTGTCGAATGATGCTTGAATTCGTACTGCACATGAATATATTTTCGCATATTTCTACGAATGTGCCGTAGTGGAACGAACACGGGGGTATTTACTTTATTCTTTGATTGTCGAATGTTTCACACCTGCATTACTTTATCCCGGAATCGGTCAATGTACCATGTAACCGAAATTATATTTAATACTTAATATGAAATTGTGAATTAGGATATATATATATACATATATAAATGATGGAGTCACGCCTCAAAAGTGGCTCAAAAGACAAGCCGCTTTTTTGACTGTTTACAAAATGGAAACTTTATTCACAAAACACAGAAGTATCAGCCAAACCGAATGGAAACTGCAGAACCGATGGGCCACATTCGCCAAATACTCTGAAAGATGTAAAAGGACATTTGAGAGAATGCTCAAAAAATGTGAGACTGACTGCAGACCTTCGATGACGATGAATTGGCTCTCGTGCGAGGAAGTCTGGTGCGAATGCTGCCCGTGCTTCTTAGCTTTATCTGTAATCGGAGTAAAGACGTGACATTTAACGATCCATATTAAATGTGGCACAACTTACGGTGGACTGTGATGCTCCGCTCCGTTTCGCCCAGCGCATTCTTCGCTATGCATTTGTACTCGCCAAAGTCGCGCTTGGTCACCGGTCGCAGGGTGATGCGCATCACAATCCGATAGGCATGATCCACAGCGACGGACTCGTAGGAGCCACCCTGCAGCAGCTCGGTGTCCTTCAGCCAGAAGTTCACAGACGCCGGCTGCGATTCGGTGATGCATTCCAGGCTGACTTTCTGGCCCAGACCCACATAAATGGTATCGTATCGTGTCCAGATTGTGGGCGCAACTGTCAATTAAATCAAATCAAGTAAAATCGTATGATTTATCCATCATAAATCTATCTACTTACAGTTCACCACCAGCATGACGCGCTTGCTCACCGTTGGAGGGACCCCATTGGAGGCGATGCACAGATAGGCACCCATGTGAGTCCTCTGCACTTGCCACAGCGTTAGATTTTGTCCTTCGACGCTGTAGACCTCTTGAGCGCCCTCGTCCGTCAGCCAGAGCGGCGTGGACTCCTCGCGGCGCCATGTGATGGTGGGCGTGGGAACGCCTGTTGCATAGCAAGTGAGGGTCACGTTCTGACCCGTGGCACGCACCACATCCTGGCTGGTCTGAAAATCAACAATATCGGGCGGCACCACCACATCCAGGTAGCCCATTTGGCTCTTCATGGGATCTGTGTTGATTTGGCACATGTACCTGCAGCAAATCGAAGGGGAATTTAGCTGCTGCCTGTCCCTGTCCCTCATTAAATAGCAACAAACCATCCACGATCCGATTCCTGGACATCGCGTATCTTCAGCTGCCAGATGCGATGCTCCGTGTGGGAGATGGCAATGCGATGATTCTTGGTGATGACATGGTTCTGTATGCTGAGAATGGTCTGCGTGTCCACCCGCAGCCAGGCCACCTTGAAGCTAACCAGCTCGTGGACCACACAAGTGAGCATTGCGTCGCGTCCCACGGGTATGGTTACATTGTTGATGGGACCACTGAACTTGGGATCCGCTGGAAACGAACGAAGGTTGGTTGACATTTATGGCTCTGCTTATTAGAGTACTAAATGGGGCAGCAGATATACTCATAACTGTGGCCTGTGGCAGGGGTAGCAGTGCCAGTGCCAGTGGCAGTCCACCCTGGGTTAGTAGGGGAGGGAGTGCTTTATGAGGCTTGCAAATGCTAGATGTTGGCCTTTGCGCTGTATCCATTGGAAGGAACTCGGGCGAGAAAATATAATTGAATTTACAATAATTTGTTTTGGCAAAATGTTCGGCCGCCTGCCAACGTTCTCCATTTCTAATCCACAATTTTAAATATAATTATTTAATAGCTTTTCCGAGGCGCATTTCTGCCTGTGTCTGCAGAATGTCAACGGCTCGAGGGGAAAATTGTCAACGCTTGCCAGATGCCCCGCCAAAGTGGTCAAAGATATTTCCAAAATATTATCCAGCGGCCATAAATTTGACCAAGCCAACATTAAGCGAAGGAAAACAGCAAATAATCCAACAATTAGTTAAATTAACTGTTTATTAGGGATGACCCCACGCCGCCAGACTTTGAAAAAAAAAGGTTCTTAAGCAGGAAAATTATGAGCAGGATGTTCAGGTTCAGATGGTTTCAGTTTGAAGATCCAGGGGAATTTAAAGAAAACTTTAACGTACTCAGTTGATTTTTAAAAGGATTTTATTACTCCTTTCTTCAATATCGTGGGCTCCCCTTCATAAGAGTTCAAACACCTTGCAGCTAAAACTGATAATTTTTTTGATGGGAGGGTACAATGGAATTCAACTCAACTCGCAATCATTTTCCAGTCAAGCTACCCGACCACAAGACTTTGACATTTGGCCGTCAGCCTCTAACCGCCCGCCTAACCGCACACAGACCTCAGACCATGACACCCCCCATCGCAATAGCGGAAAAAAATAGAAATCACATCACATGCCTAACAAGTAGCATGATTTTGTGGCTCGGCCCCTTCAACCCTCCGCCACACGCTGCGGCCAGGAGGGGTCGAGCGTGGAGCCCTTCGTTTGCTCACCTCACACACAGCAAATACCTAAATTACAATTATGACCAAATAATAGCCCGAAAAAATGCAAAAATCTAATAGAGCAGAGGGAGCTGCTGGTACCGGGAAAATTGTAAAAAGCTGGCTACTGGCTCCACTTTTACATTTGAACGGCGACGACCGCCGCCACCTCTTACACTGATTGCGGTGCGGGTGCAGGTGCGGGTGTGGGCGTATTTCAACCAAACTAGCATCAGATTGGGCTGGGGAAGCCTACGACGATGCCACGCTATATAGCCTATAATTTGCGATTATGTTTGGGTTCGGTATGCCGGGGCACACACCACACCACGCCACTTCACTCCACTACCCATGTTGGGGTGGGCATGTATGAGAAGCCATTGTTTGGCTGCCTGTGGTTGCTGCTGTTATTGCAATTTGGTTATTGCATGTTTGCATATTGAAACATTCCAAAGAAAGGGACAAGCGAGACTTTTAACCATAGGTGGGTATACTACTATAGTACTATAGTATGTCTGGGCAGGTAATGCAAATTCGCATTTAACTTTGTGGCCGCTAAATGGTTTTCCTGTTGCTAACTTTGTGGCAGGAAATTCATGGTAGTCTCTGTAGGATACTCTATGCGGTCTTAGAGAATTTCAATAGAACATTTTGATTTTCCATAGGTTGTATTCTTGTCTCCTTTGGATTGTATTTGCATTACGCTTCGATCTTTTTTGTTTAAAACACACAGCTGGAATCCAGCTCCATGGAGGAGTTCTATCCCCACACTGTTGAACTTGAAACGGAAAGTGAATGTCCTGTCTGTTAGACACTCCAACCGTCTGCCGTTTTCAGGCGGAACGCAACACAATCAGCACGCAATGTCTGCCAAAAAAAAAAAAAGACTGTGCCCCTACCCCACTGCAGGGGGACTGCAGCACCACAGCTATCCTTAACACTTCAGCAGCAGCAGCAGCAGAAAATCAGTAGCACGACCAGCCACAAAAAAGTGGCAAGAAAATAGCGCAGAGTGCAATAGGAAGTGAAAAACGTCGCCTTTCCGCGATTGTCTGTCTGTCTGTCTGTCTGGTTGGCTGTCCGTCTGGTGGCCTGCTGGGAGGAAGAATGGAGCTGGCAATGGCTGATGGAGTTTTAGTTTTGGGGTTTTGGGACATCATTCTTGGCCCGAACCACTCAATTCTCACTTTCTTATCGCACACTGCGGCTACCCTGCCAATATTTCTGTTTATTTTGCATTTGGCACATTGATTTAAAAACAATTTCTGATATATTTATCGCATTTGGCTTCCCAAAGTCAAGCAAAATTTGTTTTGTTTTTCTGTGTTGTGCGATTTTTGAGCGGGGTTTGGGTTTTTGGGCGCCCATTTTTCCCAAGCGGAAGTTGCTCCTCCTCGCTGCTCTCTTCCCCTGTCCCTATCCCTTCTGTCTGGGGAATATGTTGGCCACAGTTTATTCACTTATGGACTCGTTGGACTTCCGATTGCTGCCGCCTCCCCCGCCATTTGGCGCCCACTGCTGTTGGTATTTATAACGCTTTTCGTTAGCACTCTTGTTTCGGATATTTTCCACGTTAAATGTAGTCAATTAGCTGAACCTTCGCGGCGAAATTTATGTTGCCGTTTAACTGATGTTCCTCAAAGTGTTTCTAATATTTATGGGCTGGAAACTAAAGGATCGGATTAAAGGATAGAAGGTCGCAATAATTAAACCCTTTCTATTCGATTTTAACTCTAATTATTTTCCATTTGGAGGTGCATTTTAAATATATTAAATTTAATTTAAATTATATTTATAATTAATTATATATTATATAGATATTATTATATTATATTATATATTACAATTAATTGTAATTCGTAAAGTTTTTTGTTTGATTCTTTTTTAATTGCAAATTATTCTCCCCGTTAAACTTTCGTTGCTCTTAATTGTATTTATTTTATATATTCTCTGCATTGTATATCCCCCTTAGAAAGCTTTAGCTTAGAGCCAACTTACAGTTGTTTAACTCCGAGAAGCTGGCCCAGCTCAGACACACGCAGTGCAGCAGGAGCCAGATATCAGCGAAGCCTTTTCTCATATTCCCAGATCTGGCCTGGCTTGGACATCCACTTAAGTGCCAACCAAAGTGCAAAACTTTTGCCTAAATGTTGTACTCTTTTCTTTTATCCTTTTTCTTTTTTTTGTTATCACTTTCACTAGCCCAAGCTGAGTTTCCGCTGCACTAATGTGAACTTATTTTTTTTCGGTTTATTTTAGTAAAATTTCCTTCCGCTTTTCCTGCCGATGGATGCCGGAGACGAACGTCTGCACACAGTTGGAACTGGCCGCGAACTGCGAGCGGTGCTGATAATCAAGTGTCAAAATTCATATTCAAAATTCAAACGCTGCCTGGCTATGGCGATGGCAATGCGATGGCGTTGCGCATGTGTCTTGCTGGCAGGCCGAGTGGGAATGGGAGCGGGAGTGGGCTGTTGCGGCCAGTAGTCAAGGTGCCCCAAGCAGTGTGGCATAAAGTGGAGTGGATATTGCAGGGGGGTGGCCAAGGCGAAGGCGAAGGTATGCAATAGTAAATGTTTCATTCATAAAGCGCCCAACGTAATATTTTCCTATGCACGTGACGCTCGTCGTAGTTGTAGTACTAGCTTTTGCCACTGCTGTTGCTGTGT